AAAGTGTTCAAAATTTTGAAGGGACTGTCTGGAAATTGTTTTTTATAAAGTAGTCTGTCAAAGTAAAAAAGCTTGATCAATGTGATGACAAAAGATTCTTTCAAAGCTGATTCTGGATAAAGTGCGTTCCTCGTAAATAATTAATTGAAGAAATTTGCATAAACAAATTTAACAAACAAAAACAAACAGAAAACAGGAAGACCCTCTAATTCTGGATGATGGTACCAGACAAATTAACATCGATATTATGTGATAGCTTTGGATGACAACTGGCTGCTTGCTGGCTGACAACTGGCTTTGGATGACAACAAACTTGCTTCATAGTTCATTCTTGATATAATCTGTGAAAAGAGAAATGAATCCTTATCAAATACTCATGAGAATTATCATGACTATTCAAGTTATCACTCGATCAAATCAATGAAACTAAACCCTGTTTTCCTAATTGAAACCTTGAGATGAAGAGAGGCAAATTCAGCCATAATTCATCGTCTTTCCCCTCCATTGAAAGACATTAATCTTTGCCTTGAATAGTGGCAGAAGACCCATCCAAATGCCTCTCTTTTCCTCGAAAACGAAACGAATCCAGGCGATAAATTGTCTCTCCTGCGGCGGCGCGTCTCATATAATTTAGGTTGTCTTTTGAGTTATGACAGGATTGGGGAAAGAGGAATGGAAAAGAATGAGGGATCGATTATCACAACCACTCCAATACCTCTCTTTCCTTTCGATGATTTACGAGGGCCTCCACAAATCATTCATTTCTTCATTCATTCGATTCCTATTTTCAAAAGATGACCGATAAACCGGGGATTTCATCTAGATCTTCACACTCGAGTGTAGAGAAAATGAAAATATATGTCGTAGCCGATTATGAATGAGTGGGTCCGGACGCGTCCAACCACCAAGTATTTAGTATCATTCAACGCAGAATCATTGATAATTATGTTAAATTTTTTAAATTAGAAAGATTGGATGAAAAGAAAAAAAATTATGGGGCTTCAAAGTTTTCTCTTGGACAAACAGTTTTTTGCTCTAATTTTTTTTCTTTTCATTCAATCTTTCTAATTTAAAAAATTTAACATAATTATCAATGATTCGGCGTTGAATGATACTAAATACTTGATGGTTGGACGCTCCTAGACCTACTCATTCATAATCGGCTACGGGGGTCCCACCGATTTTGAATGAAACGCTGTAGCGACGGTAATTTTTAACCTAAACTCACAAATTTGGTACCAATCGACGCAGAATTGAATTCGCTACAAAATGATATAATATTGTCCTCATACATTAAAGGGTTGCTCTACTAGAAAGGTTTGCCAAAAAATTTCATTCATAATCGGCTACGACATATATAAATGAAACTAATAAAAGGACACTTTGGCACTAGTTTTCCTCAAGAACCAAGTAGATAATTCTTATTTATTCGAGATCATATTATAAGATATCATATTGATATCATTAAAAATAGATTTACACAAACAGATCTTGCAAGTTGATATGTACAAGATCTTGCCTTGCAAGCTGAAAAAACAATTACTGAGCGTACAAAAAGTGGCCCGGAGAAAAGCCGTAAACAGGTGAAATGATAATGATTTGACTGAATATGTACCCACACTTCTTCTCGGAATTGTAGACTGAATTCTTGAATATTATTGTATACCTTTGCTCTATCAGAAGCTGTATTCACTTAAAATAGCAAATATCAGCCGGCACCTTGAGCAAATCATTCAGAATCGATCCAACAACCTTGAAAACCTTCACTGAACGGTCTCCATTTTTAAATGATCACAATTTGGGGTCGAAATGTCACTTATCAATTCTACGTACCACTTCAAATATTCTATTCACTTAATATGCCGACTCTTCTCACAAGTCTTCTTGCCGGTTATCTTATCTTTTTCAAAACACCCGCCGAAATGAAACACTACAAATATATACTGGCAAATATTTGGGTCAGTTGTTGAACAAAACAAACAAAGAATTTTTCAGTTCTGGACCTCGGGCACCGATGTTTTCTTTTCATTACTCATTCATCCGCAAATGTTTTTACCGCTTCTTGGTGGAACCACGTCGAATCTCATTTGGAATTATCTGCTTTTTGAATTTACCGATTATGGGTACTTTCCCAGTATCGGGTAGACATGGGAAAATTCCAATCCGAGCCTACAGTACTGGACAATGAAATATCAAAAATAATGAAATCATATTTGAAAAACGATCGTCACTTTCGCGCGTCTGTAGCTCCCTTGTCTTTGAGTTTAAACTATTAGTGTTATACATTTTCTGTCCAATATTCAAGCTGTTAGCTGTTTTTCTTTATGATAGAGTGCTGAAATCGCTCTGAAACTAAGATTTTCGGAATCTACGCAAAAATTTACCTTAAAATAGTCAATATTTGTAAAATTGTATCAAAGTTTCATAGCGAAAAAAAACCACATTTGCGAAATTCTCACTTCTTAAGCGGTCAAGCGAGGAAGAAGCTGGAAAACAAATATTTAACAAAAATGTAGTAAAATGAACAGTAACAAAGTAACAAGTAACAAAGTAGTAACAAAAACAGTAACAATAATGAGAAAACTCCAGAGCACACAATGGAAATTTCAGTATTTAGCAGCAAATCCTTTAGCGTCGATTACAGCTTGACATCGCCGAGGCATTGAATCAAGAAGATTATTGATGAAACTGACGGAGATTGTTGTTGTTGTTAGGTTTAGCTCGTTGTATTTAGCAGCAAATCCTTTAGCGTCGATTACAGCTTGACATCTTGACATGTAGAAACTTGGAGATGGTTGACTGAGTGACGGTAAACTGTTCCGCTAACTGGTTCTGGCTGAGATCTTTCTTTTTCCCGTTAAGGATAGCTTGTTGTGTAGGCACATAAAGATCCTTGCATCCTCGTCGCTTTCCCATTGCACCTAAAAACAGTAATTATTATCATTTTACCCAAGGCAAAGAAAGGAAAACACTCAAAGTTGGATTTTTTGCAAATAAACCGCCCAAGAAATGAGAATTTCGCAAATGTGGTTTTTTTTCACTATGAAACTTTGATACAATTTTACATTTACAATCAAATATTGATTATTTTAAGGTAAATTTTGGCGTAGATTTCGAAAATCGTACTTTCAGAGCGATTCCAGCACTCTATCATAAAGAAAAACAGCTAACAGCTTGAATATTGGACAGAAAATGTATAATACTAATAATTTAAACTCAAAGACAAGGGAGTTACAGATGAGCGAAAGTGACGATCGTTTTTCAAATATGATATTTCATTGTCCAGTACTGTAATTCCACCTTCGTTTTCTCGGTCTTTTCTTGTCCGATTGCTCTGAAATTTTGTCTACAAGCTGAAAATGTCGTTTTCTATTTGTAGACGAGATTTCAGAGCAATCGGCCAAAAAAACAATGATGAAATTCGGTTCGAATTGGAATTTTCCCATGTCTAGTATGGGGGAAGAGATTTTGATTTTGATTTTAACTCTCTTCCGATACTGGGAAAGTGTTCAGATGGGGAATGTGGGTGAGTTTCAGTGTAAAAATTGAAATCTTTCGATATCTTCTCTTCATTTTGTTCTACTGAAGAAATTAAAACCTAGTGGCTAGAAAGCCTGCGTTTGTTAGAGCACAAAGTACGTTCACATGTTCAATTCCACCATTTCTAGCTAACATCATGGTTCTTTATTGCAAACGGCTCTTTATCTCTACTTGATGGATTTTTGTATCGTCTATGGGCACTCTCAATGCATAGTTGGGCAATGGATAAGCCAAAGTAACATCTAATTGAAAAGTCCTTAAAAATCAAACTAGACGAATGATCGTTGTTCTCTTTTTGGTACATGCAATCCATATTATTCCAGCATTTGTATTAGGTATCCTTGCATATACTCCAAGATCGAAAGCTGAAGACTTCATACGGCAGGTTTGTTGTGCTGCTGTAGGCTGTAGATCCAGTGGCTTACCATTTAATAATTAGCGATTTACTGTTCAGAAATTCCCCGAATACTCTGACATATTTACATTGTGCAATTTTGTGATTATCGAGCCAAGCTTGAACCCATTTAACGCCTATTTTCTTTACGCCGAATTTATCGGCACCATGTGGGTATTTGGAACTGGAGGGTGGATAATGAGTAAAATATACAGAGTGTTAAAGGTGAGCTTTTGAATGAAAATGTGGATTTTTTTGTCAGAAATTCCGAAGTTCAATGAGTGTGAAGACGTACGAGCAGCACAAAATGCTTACGATTTCCCTTGTCGTGCAGATAGCGATACCACTTTTGATCTTCTATTTGCCTATGTTGATCGGTTTGGGATATATTCGGTTTGATAGTGAGAAAGCTGATACGATAAGGGTTAGAGGTATGTATGGTAATTACAGTAAACTTGTCTTTTCTGTTTTTTTGTGGTTTCGCATGTTCTCTTGGCGTTATTTTGTTTGCATACAAATCTAAATATCATTTCTATGATCTATTTGATAACTCCGTACAGAAATGAGGTTCGCCGATTGCTTGGTATCCTGAAAATTATGAAGTTTGTTAGATACCGTATGCTCCGCCAATATCAGTCTATTCAATTTTAGGCCTTACGAAATTGCTTCTCAAAACAGAATTTCAAATGTGCCGACAAGTAGTTTCTAAACTGATTGAATAGATTTTATTCGATAATTTTCGCGATAAAAACAATAAAAAGGATGAAAAAATTTCTAAAATCCATGATGACAAACCACTAAATCGAGGTTATTTTCACGACTATACATTCAAAATCACAGGGCAGGAATGTATCATACACAAACAAATCTGAAAACGAGTGACTTCAGTGAAAATTGCATACTTCACTTAATCAGCTACCTTAAAAGTTATATTTAGCTAGGGAATATTTTATAAGGTGTTCTAATACTATTAATCATTAATCAAGTAAAATAATGAAACCTGGAGAAAAATTGAAGTCTGGAAACATTAAATCGGATTTGAGCACAGCATTTGAATGTTAATTTACGGAGAGGAAGTCGTCGAATAGTGTGTGTCGACTCCCGGTGCGTTACCCCATTTCTCAGCCATCCAACGAATTGTCTTTACACTAATCTAAAAGAAAGTAAATAAAACAAAATTTTAAATAGGTAGCTGTTAAACGTTATCTACCGTTATTACTTTAAAATTAAAAGCCATACTTACCTGTGGACCAATTAAAGGATTAAGTTGATGAAGATAAACGAGAATCCAGAACATCCAACAACAAACAGCTGTCAACACGATCATCGTTTGGATGATTCCTGAAAAAAATTGATTATTAAAAACACTACTTTCCTAAAGATAAGCCTGTGCAACGAGTTATTAGTTATCTTAATGAATAAATACAAAAAAAACCTCTATTGACGCCTTTTGGTACGAGCCAGGGACCGCCAAATCCGATGAGCGCCCAAAATGCCGACACTGACACCAACGGAACGATGACACCCATGTCTGAAAAAAGAAAAATCTTTAAAATGCTAGATGAATAATAAAAAGAATGTTAAGAAAACTTATAAGTTTAAGAGAGTAAAACATATTGAACACGGTGAGCAAAAGGAAGAAGGGTCGAAGATTGATTCGATGCAATCGACGCACATTTTTAGGGGGCGTGACCGAGCGAGAGATCATTGGAGTACGCGACAAAACGGGTCAGAGAATAAAGTCTAATATTGATCTCTCATTTCTTTACTCTAAAAAATATCTAAAAGTTATATTTACAAGTTGAATTTTTGTTGAAAGTAAAGAGGTTGTTTGAACGATTTCTCATGTTTTAAGAGCTTCCAAATGCTTAGAAGTGCATGGCTTTAACAAGCAACATAAAATGATTGGAGGCGCTATTTTTGAAACCCTTCAGCTGAAGATCATTCCATTTTCAGTCAAAACTCTAACTGAATATCTTTAAATGTGAGGAATCCAGGGATATTCAGTTTTCCGTGCTTTCATTAGTTCAAAACTTTTTATTTGGCGAATCTTATCTCGACTTTTTGGATGCGTCATGAGAAAAATCACATGTTATTTACATCGTTTAATTGCAAAATATCTTTATATTGTTTATTTATCAGCTTTCATACTTGTTTACATTGTTTATTCATTAAATTTTATCGTTTACTTTAGCCATGGTGAAACTGTGTCCGCTGTGTGGCCCGATAGGGTCCGCATTTTGGTGAGTTTTAGACCTTTTAACTTTTTAATTGAGAATTATTTGAGCAATCACCTCAGAGCAAATATCTAGCGTTGAATATCTTGATTGTTAATTCTTTTTAGTATGGTCATGTCCGCTTGGGTGTCATATTTTTGGGTCTCCTCGGAGTATTCTTCTATTTGCAGGTCTGTGCGCATTTTTTTATTTAAAGTTAATGAATTAATTTAGGCTGTTACCCTATTCCCCGATCTTCATTTCCATATCGAAAAAGCTGGAGATTTTCCAGTAGGGTGGGTTGTTTTGGGAATTTCAAAATATCCAGTAGAAGTGAGACAAGTTTGAAAAGTTTCAGTAAGCAGGAGTAAGCTTTACTTAATTTAGTTTTGGTTGTTTCGTCTTAATTTTTTTTTTTAGTTTTGGTTGTTTCGTTTTAACAGTTCGGTATTTTAGAGCGTTTAAATCCATTTGCCCTGACGGATATTACTTTCGCACATAACGGTGCTATAAATATGGACTAGAAGAAAACGACCCAAAAAAGATCTTCAAGCATTCAATTTAAATCATGCGATTTAGTAAAATCGGCGACGCATATGGTGAAAAGGCGACTCAATGTTGGATTGCGGCGGGAATGTATGCTGTCACGTTGGTACTCGTTTTCTGGCAGAACAAATACAACACACAAAGCGTCTTCTAACTTCGCTAGCCGTATTTTTACCTTTAATTTTGTTTAAATCTTAACATCTTCAACTTTCTACAAAAGTTGATAAAAGTTTTTCCCTGTGATAACGTGGTTCATGGATTTATGAATGTTTGAAGAATGTATAGCGACGTCAGATTCTATTTTCTCCTATAGCATAATTTTATTTGAGCTGTTAGTGACATTCCAGTATTATCTGCCCTTTGATTCACTTCCGTAAATGCACAGATAAATTTTATTGAATACTCTGGGTGATTTCAGTTTGCTTGATAAGTTTTAACAACACAGAAACATTTATTTGAATTAAACCCGAAAAGCCAAATAGCAACCTAGAAATCAAAATTGAAAATGCCGAATGAGGATAAATAGTTTATAACAAAATTTAACAGAGGTGAGTTTTTTACATTAATATCTTGTTTTGCTGAGTAAATGATGATTGAATGGGAAACGCCTAAAAACATCCACTGTATTATGGACCAAATTAACTGACCGTTTTGGCTTTAAATCCAATCGACGCGAGACTTTGACGATTTATCAGTCCTTGCTAAAAAAAAGAGTTTAACGTCCAAAAACGAGTGTTTACCATCGAATCGAATTTCGGATCCCCCTCAAACGCGGATTCACCATTAGTCAACCGTTCTTCTGCCACTTCCAATATCTCTTTGCCCTTGCTGACCTATATAAAGATAACCCAAACGTTTCAAGAAATATTTTCACCATGTCCTTGGCTCGCTGATAGCACAATGCACGGTAAAATAACATGTCCTATAAAGATAGAAAACACTTATTAGTTTGAAACAACTAACTTGAAGCTGCATCTTTTGATTATCGTAACTTATCCAATCCGCGTCTTTCCACTGCCACTCAGTGAATCGGGCTTCGAATGACTAATTCATGATTATAAGTTATTTTAGACAATTAGATCCTACCGTCGTCTCTATCAGTTCACCATTTGCAATTTTCTCTGCATACAACAAGACGAAAGCACCACAATCAAAATTTGTCCCTTGGCCAAAGACTTCACGCACTGCTCTCGAACTAAAGAAAAGTATTTCCCATAAATCAACTTTCAAACAACCAGTCGAACTTACTGAAGTTTAGTCTTGAAAAGTCCCGGATCCTCCTTAAAAACCAAAGCGGCAAATCTCATGATAGGAAATAGCGTTCCCTAAAAAGACGATGTTTTCATAAAAGAAAAGGTATTAGCATTACAATTATTACTCTAAAGCTACACACCTCCATTTCTCGATCATGCAATTGTGGCAATACTCGATAATTTTGTCCATCACTACGTTCGATATCTTGCAACTAAAAAATAATACTTTATTTTCTGCAAAAGAAACGAACAAGCGAGTCGAATACATGGACGAATGCTGGTTGTGTGTCATGGCGGTCGATTACTTTTTTGTCCAGCCATTGCGCGTAGTGAGACACAACAATCAAATACCTAAACGTAGTTTAAACAGTATTTTTTTTATTGATAATCTACCAATGATTTCCATTAGGGAGGAAAACTACGATGGCGGTATATGGCTTCGACGTGTCACAAGCAAAGTTCTTGATTTCGAAGTTCTTTCTTAATTCGTTCGCTGCAGACGGATTCTAAAATTGAATATATTGGATGAACTTTACGATACATACCTCATCTAAGAATTGACGTGCAATTTTTGGATCATGAATCTGATCGAGTTTGTATTTCTTCACTAAATTCTGCCAAACTGTGAAGCTTTGAGAACCGACGTAGCCAAGTTGAAATTTTCTAAACAAAATTTTTATTAGTTTTTATTTTTTACTTACGAGCCATTTATGACAGTCTGCATGAGTGGATCAATAGCGAACGAGTCAATATATCTAAAATAGATTTTTCCTAGAAACTAATAAATAACTAATAACTCACCGCCTTTGTAGTAAATCAGTAAGCATTGTCGCTTCTCGTTTAACTACTTGTCCGCTCGGAAACCGTAGTGAAATCTCAAGTTGTCATATGAATTTATCACCAATAATTCCAAAACCCAATCACAAACACTTGGAATTAAAAAATACCGTCGGCGAGCGAAAGATCTTATTGATGGGAATGCTTCGTTGTTCATCTTCATCGTCCGACGAGAGATCGACAACATCTTCTGGTGAAGCAGAATTCATCTAAAACACGATAAATGAGTTTTTAAAATTTCTTTGTCCGAAATTAACACTAACATCAACACTGATTCTATCAAATTTTAAGCCAAAACTTACTCTATCGGAGCCACCGGGAGTATTCCTGGCCTCGGGTTGGGAGGTCGTGGGCAAACTCTAAAAAGGTCCAATCAAAATCCCAAACTGAAATGCATACGAACTGCCCCAAGTTCAGAAGAAGGTCCACGTCTTCGTGTCGAAAATTTGACATTTGATAACTAAACCAGCTTGGAAGTTACTAAATAAATGTTAAAACTTGGTAAACATCTAATGGTTAAATCAACCATAAAACACCTAACCAACAAAAAAAGCTGAACAAATTTATTTAACAATTAACAAGTTAAAATAAAACAACAACAAAACAATCACTGATAATTTTTTCAATTTTTGGCCTTTGAAGGTTCACCATTTGCTATTCGTCTCAAATAATCTTCCTCTCTATCGTCATATTTCCCACGCATAAGTATGAACCAATAAAGCAAATCGTCAAGCCTTCCTGTATAAAGTAATTTGATAAATCCATTAAACACCAACCGTCGTACGACTCTTTATTAAGGGCATTACGGAGCTCGAGCAAAGAATAATATATTGCTTCTAAAGAAAAAGTAAAAATTTTAAAGGAGTGTGATAATACCTATTGTCGCTAAATGGTGATCATCCAAGTTGTGCTGCGTACGCCAAAAGATCGTCTTATATTTCTTCAAATGCACACATGGGAGACCTTAACATAAGTATTGCATCCTCAAAATAACCAGCCAAATTAACCATTTATTTGGGGAAGCTTCTGCATTACTCCAACTTGAAACCATGTTGAGTCCAGAAATACGAAACGATCTATTTTGCCTTCCTTGGCAACAAATTCTTCAATGCTCTGGGCACCGGGTGTTGGAAAAACTAAAACCTAAATGTTATCCTCATCAAATTAAGATCTATTTCAAACCACACGCTCTTCAGGAAAGTTTGTTCGATAATCAGGCAAATTCACTGTATCATATATTTGCGTTTTAGATGGAGCGGCTAACTAAAGTAAATAAATAAAAAATAAGATTAGAATTCTAAAACAAACCTTGCAATGAATCGCTGTCGACTTGCTATTCTTTTCCTTCGGATGTTTGATAACGTCGACTTTACAAGGAAGCTAAACCCACAAGAGAGTACAATTATATTTTTAGCATCAAAAAATACCTCAACTTGTGGATAAAATATGTCAGATAACGTCTGGTGGCAATCGTAGCAGAAGTACATTCGGCGTCGTTTGCATTTGGGACAAATTTGCTTCTCGAGACCCTCAAGTTTTTCATATGAAGACAATCGAAGAGAATCGCGAGAGATAGAAGTCATCTGAAAAACAAAACTTTTGTATGGCAAACAAGAGTAAGTAAATGGACAAAATAATAAAGAAATAGAGCTAAAAAATTTTCCGAAGCCTTATATAGAAAAGGATGAAAAAATGAAAATTTAATGAGTTGACTGAATAACTTGTAATTGACTGCTGAAGATTCGCCGATAAAACTCTGTAAAACAATTTTCACACTTACTCATTTATGCGTGAAAAATTAGAACATCTATTTTTGAGGTCTGTGCCTGTATAACCTTTTGCATAGAATAGCGCATTGTATGCGTACGTTTCGATCGCACAGAGCCTGGGACCCCAAGGCTATCTAGGAAGAAAAGACCCTAAGTATTGGGCGAGTAGACAAACCCCTTTATAATTGTATGTTTTATCGAGTAGGCTCTAAAGTTATTTGGTCAATCCAATCGGACTTGTTTCTCTTTTCAAAATTACTATTCTGGTATTTTAAAGTTTTTAGGTGCTGAGTAATGACAACTAGCAACATTGAGCTTGGTCTCATCATCACTTCTTCAAGAAACAACTACTATTTACCATGGAAAACAAATGTCCCCGAATTAGTGACTACGTAAGGCTTCAAAAATTAGCACCGATACAATGCAAAGATTTGTCTTTTATTTCTGTACTTTTTAAAAATAAATTTTTTTAGTGAAGTGCCCCGCGATTGTTATCAAAATTGGGTCGTCCGTATACAAGAACCTGGCAGCATCGAAAAATACTTGTATCCGTTGGAAGCTTCTAAGAAAGCCCCATTAATCCACCGTCATCGAAATAATCGCGTTGAGGTAGTTTTTAGAGACTTTTGGATAACTTACGTTTAAGGTACTGTTACGAAATTGCTGGTTAGAAAAAGACGGCTCCATTGCTACTGAGGTATGTTTTTCGAAACATTGCTTGATTGTTGGTCTTTATTTAGGATTCAATAATGGCGTGGCCAATAACGGACCCACAAGGTTATCTGCAGCCGCCCGATTTTAATCGACGATACACTCTATGGGGACGAGTGGGCTTTATGGAGGAAAGCCGGGATATTTCAATAAAGGTATGTAGTTAATATGAGTAGTGGTTTTCATATTATGAGAGATGCAAATGTACTCAAGTAATTTAGGTCGTCGAAATTGTTGAATCTTGGTCAAGAAGTTCACAGAAAATGTTTTCTCCTACTTCTATCGGATATCGTCTAACCTTTCCAGAGGTTTAATTGTTTATAGTGTCTTTATAAGATAGCTTTAAGGATTACAAAGCGAATCAGGAGATGTGTTACTTACTTACTGAACAAAAAGGAACTAATGGGAGAAAGTAAGTAATGGCAGAAAGTAAGGAGGAGAAAATAACAAAAACTTTAGAGAAAAAACGAGTGGCACTCTCATACTGAAGATACTGCAGGAATTGCTCACCGAAGAAGTGACACGAGAGGCGATTTTGGAATTCGAGCCGGCCATTTTCGATCAACTTTTAAAACTTTTTGATATGAGAGAATTTTAATCAATAATTACATTACATAGCTCTTCTTTGTTTCCTTTGCACTAGAGACAGTTTTACAAATTTTACGGGTGCTTTTGGCATTTTTTTTGAAAGCGGGTCTAATTTTATTTGGTTTTGATTTTGAATAAATTTTTGTTGCTGTAACTCATTTTTATGGGCGGAAATTGGATTTTATTTACTTTCGGGTCCTTAATTTTTAGTTTTATTGACTGCCAGAAATTTGGGCTTCGTATGGGAAATTTCTTGTGGAAAGTAAATATCATGACAAAATGTGAAAAATCTCCCGATGCGTCCGTTATTTTTGCACTATACATACCACTTTGAGCTACTTTTTTGAAGTTTTTTTGAAAATTCTGCACAAATCATTTTTTTCTTTCGAACACCCTATATATTTGAATTGAAATTTGGATTGCGTCCATTGATGGCCACTCATTCGAAAGACGATGCGCCAAATTGCAGTGCTTATTTTCGCCACCATTCTGCTGGTTGTGGTAGGTGATTTTTAGATTGAGTTGCTCAATTCCATTTTAGGCAAATGCTATATTCGAGCAACCACCAACCGAGCACCTCACCGATCAAAACTTCCAAGGGGTAGGTGGGGTGCCTTTTTCTTGGTTATTGGTTTTACTTAGAAAGTGCTTAACTCATCCGATCCATGGATTGTCGCTGTTTATTGGAATCCCTGCAAGCACAGTAAACGGTATGTTAACATGGTGTTTCGAACTACAAGCAAGACTACCACTATATTTTGTTTTTCAAGGTATTCGAAAGAAGTTTGGCCAGAAATTATTTCTATCTTCAACAACAGCAACGTTAGAGTGGGTTTTTCCTTTTACGCATGTTCTGTTTTTTAGCTTGGCGCACTCGAACAGAGAAATCAAGAGGTGGTTCATCGATTTCGGAAGTTTATTCCCGGATATCCAACCGTTCTTGTTTTTCGCTCGAACTCTTGTTAATTTTTTAAAATTAAATAGTAACAATATGGGGTTTAAATTGACTAATCTAGCTGATTTAGTGGAGCCCCTCGATCGCAACTTTGTCAAAGAAGAGGACGATCTTATAAAAGTAGCTCATTGAAATAGTGTCTCAATCGTGTCTCAATGTGAATGAAAACGAACAAGCTTGGTGAATGTCAAATCTATTTTATTCCCTTTGAATTTTCAGCAAATAAAAGTTTTCAGATTTTCAATTAGTAGTTGTTGAGGCATTAATTTGAATTCGACAAGGTTTTTAAAATTATCCCGATTTGGAATCAAAGCCAAATGACCTTCTCCAACATTTCGAAGCACCTGCTTGGATGGCTTTTTCTTTACAAGACAACTCTCAGTTTTTAATATCGATTGCTAAAGGATACATTTCTTTAATTTATTGTCTTATTCTTTTTCCGACATAATGCTTTACGGACCCTACGAATATCCGAGTCTTTATGTGACATTGATTCGAATGCAAACGATTTTTGGCTTGCCGTTAAACGGGTTCACTCTTTATTTAATATTTCGAAAATCTGGCCAACATATGAAAGTTTATCGGTATTACTTGGCTTCCACACAGGTGTGCTATAAAAGTAGAATACATTCGGAGCTCGAATACCATAAGCATTCATTTCAGTAATAAAAATCTAGACTTTATCATCATTGAGCGAGATTGTACTGGGAACTCTTTGTGCCGATCCATTCTTTCCGGCAATGTCTTTGGTTATTCATGGATTAATTGTTCGGAATATCTCGTGGTATCCTCAAGTTGTTGTGGTTGATAAAAAAGCTTTGATCACAAAAAATTTCCCCTTCAGATGGGACTACTTTGTCTTTTTTGGAGCGCTTTTCATTTCGATTCTTTTATGTTTTGTGTACAGACATCAACAACTTTTGGAGATGAATAGTCGATTTAAGTAAGATAAAATATTGGGTTGGTGAATTGAAAACTGCGGGCTATTTCGCGGGATTCGCAGATAAAAAAACAACAGCATTGAACCAGCTGAAAGGGGGTTTGGTTACTTCAACATTTCCTCAAATTATTGCGAAAAAATTATGCTTTCAGCTTTTTATTTTTTGGTATTTTTCTTCACTTCTTCTATTGCACTCGACAATCTGCCACCGGGACATATTCGTCATGGCATGCTTCATGAGTTCCTACAAGAGCACAGTGCAGGCTTGGCAGCTGCTAATATTAAAAAGATATGTGGGGAGGACTCACCTTCCGAAAGAACGTGTCGAGTATGGTTTACCAAGTTTCGATCTGGGGACAAATCTTTGAAAGATGCAGAGGGCCGTGGAGCGGCACCCCAACTGGATGATTCCAAATTACTCGAACTCATTACCAACGACCATCGGGTATCATCGCGTGAATTGGGAGAAGAGTTAGGGGTTGATCATGTTACAGTGCTAAATCACCTGGTGTACTGGGAGGGAGTGGTGCACTGGGAGTTGTTGAATAGCAAGACGACCGTTAATGCAATCAAATACAGTGAACAGTTGGGAAAGGTGAATGAATCCCTGAAGAAGAATAGGCCCTCTAAGTCAAAGATCGTTCTCATCCACGACAACGCGCCCCCCCTCATGTTGCAAAACTGACTCGCTCTAAAATAAATAGCCTTGTTTGGGAACTTTTGGCGCTTTCCCCATACAGTCCGGACCTCGCCCCTTTTGATTACTATTTATTCCGGATCATGAGTAATGAGCTTCGAGAACACTTCGATTCGGAAGAAGCAGTCAAAAACTGGCTTTGAAAGTTTTTCGATTCAAAACCAAAATCCTATCACGAAAGAGGAATGCAAATTGCCTGTAAAATGGGCAGAAGTCGTCAATAATAATGGAAATTAGTTGGAATGAATTTATGGTTTTATGTTCAATAAATTTTAGTTCAAAGTCCCGCAGTTTTCAATTCACCAACCCAATAAAATAACGAGTACTTTGTATGATTTCAGATTATCGAATTTCTCGATTTTGGTGATAGCAATTGTTTATTATCTCGCAGAGACCATCCCACTTTTTATCATTCGGAGTTTTCTTGTGATCAAAGAGGCTTCCGATGTTGAAGTGACGCAAATGATTGAGGTTGTGGTCGCATTTTTTCAAGTTATTTTATTGAAAGAGTTGTACTGTAGTGAAGTTTAAAAATAGAGTACTTACAGTAAGCATAAAAAGCCACATTTAGCAATTTCCCGATATGGGACCGACTCTGAAAACGTTGCCGACATTCTGGACAATCAAAAACTCTCCGCTCTACTCATTTCAATCAATCAATGCCCCAATGTTGCTGATATTGGTGCTTGGCTTTTATGCGATTCTACATGGGATTACTGTACTCTTTTTAATGAAAATATTTAAAATTACCGTGGCTATTCTAGCAGAAACTAAAAAGACCATTTTTTGTCAGATTCGGGTTCCATTTTCAGGGTGTCATCCTTGTCGCTTCTTCTATTCAAATACTTACCAAACGAAACGACCATTTGAGTGTGAAAACGAGGAAAATGCAGAAAATTTGCCTTACCTCGTTGATTCTACAAGTATAGTATGAATATTCTAAAAATCACTGAAATTTCAGACAATAATTCCAACATTGTGGATTGCTTTGCCGATCGTTTGTCTCTGTCCGATTGTCGTCTCGGGGATTGCAATTGGGCAATGTGTGTGTTTGATTGTTGTTGTGTTTGTTGTTGTTGTTTGTTGTTTTTGTTTTCCCCAACTTTCCCTCACTTACCACTTTCAATCGTTACAGCGATCAATCGATTTATGATTTTTATGTTCTCATGTCATGGATCTGTTGCCTCGATAGCTGTTCTTTGTATCTATGAACCATATCGAGTCTATATTAAGACGAAATTCAAGGTGCTCCTACATAAAACTCCAATATTGAGGTGAAAAAAAGGGTGATTCTTGAGAAACGCTTGTTTTGAAGAGATTTCGAGGCAAAATGGTCTTCAAAAGTCGGTCACAAAGTGGTAATCAATGTATCGAAACACACACATTCAACTGGGATTCGATAAATGACAAGAAAAGATATTTATCAAGACAAGAAAATATATTTATTTTTTACTCTTTTATATGAATAGAACTTGACTGTAATAGATTTACTAACAATGTGAAAAAAAAAGCTTTTCTTTTTCTCTATGCATTCCCATACATATTCGAGGTTGTCTTACTGTGATTTAACCCCGGATTGGTTGATTTCGCATTTGCCATAAGCATTGATGATTGGAGTAAACGGGGAGAGTTTTGCATGGAAATCGTCGACACAGCCGTCTTCGTGTGCACTCCATCTCTTCCTTTCAATTTTCCCGTCACAATCATGCGCGTCTCTTCGGAAATCAACAACAAGAACCTGGAAAGGACTGTAGTATCACAAAGAAATCTTCCTTGGCTTCATATTCAATTCTTCTTTCGTTGCTATTCTCAAATCTAAATACCATAACGGAAGAAAATTGGTCAAATCTGAGAAAACAGGCGAAAACTCGAAGAAAAACCAGAAGTCATCCATTGATTGAGTGTTTGTGATGATCTAGAAACTTCTTGAACTTAGAGAGAAAATTTGCAGCTTTGAAAACGGTAATTATTTTTTTCTGAAAAAAGCTTTTCAAGTTTTTCTGTGTGGAAGGGATAATGTTTGTTCTCTTTTTTTAATTGGCTGCGATGGAATTTCAAGATTGACATTTGTTGAAAAGTTTTGAGAAACAAAAAATTGCAATTAGTGTTGCAATTAGTAAAGAAGGTACATTGTAGCTAATAGCTACAACAGCTATTAACTATTAACTATTGTGTCAAAAATCGTTTTATTTTACAATCCCCATCCTATTTTGTGCTCACCATATCCCCCGTGTTGACAGCTTGCATGATAAATTGAAAAACAGTGAGCACATGAAATGCCATTTCCCTTCGATTAATCGCTCTTTGCATTGATCTCGAATGAAAATATAAACGAATACATGTATAGATATTCACTAGGAAACAAATGAAAACGATCGAAAGGCAGAGAGGGAAATAACCATTATCAAGAGCTTGCTGAAAAACGGGATTTCATGTTAAAGAAAGTTGAAAAGTTACCGTTAGAGGTGATTGATTAAGGGTGTATGGGATGTAATAGCCCCAACTGGCTCTGTAGAAGAAACTGGAATCGGTGAAAACGGGGCCTGTATAGAGAGAACAAAAAAGGGTACAGCCGATGCAAGTATGCCAGGTGTAACGACTCCAGAACTGGAAAAAGATTGCTGAACCTAGTTAGACCTAGTTTGCTTTCAAAAGTAGTGCAAACCAGCCGACAACCCGACTAAGGGCGAATTTTTCTGGCCAAACAGCTTTGTCGCCGTGATCCAATCGGGAGCGAGCTTGCCTACAACCCATCCGGGTTCGACCCCTCGTAGTGTCACTCATATGTCCGAATACTGCTGTTTTAGATACTGTAGTGAGACAAGGGACTCAAACTTACGCTAGACGGAAACTAACCCATTCGTAGTGCTGCGGGAAGGTTAAAGAAGTTGCTCGATTAATTGCAATGAGAAGAGTGCCAAGTTCTTGAAAAAGAACCGAAAACATGTAACCGACAGCAAGAATTGCAGGGATTACGCCCTCCTGAATAAAGGATTTGTGGGGGAAATTGATGATAACCGACTTGAACATTCCAAAAGAATTCATAGACACCCCAGGTTGGGAGACGAATTCGGAAAAGGAGACTGTAGTGCATTAGCAAGTCCTGAAAAGAAAAGTTCAAGGCGTTTATCTTGCCAAACACTCACATTGGTGAGACAAACAAGGAAGATCTTCTGATAATGTGTCTTGAAGCCGTATTTTATGTGATATTTGACAATTCGTATATAAACAAACAAAGTGATGAGGCCGATTGTGATGAAAATCGAACTAGAGCACACTTCGAATGGATCCACGAAGTGACCCTCGAAATCATCAGGAGCCACATCAGTGGCCATTTTGAGGGAATGATGGGAATGATGGATGAATTTTAATCTGAAAAACAAATGCAAATCTAAATTCCCTGTGAAGAAATTGAGGAAAACCAGAAATTATTGAGGCAATTTGAAAATTATTGGTTTTGAAGCAATGACAAAAGGAAAATTGATGATTTGAAATGAAAAGCTTTGTGAGAAAATAGTTTTGTGGAAATTGTTGATTAAAGTTGTGGAAAAAGTTTATTGAGCAAGAATTCAGATCGATGTAATGATTTTCCCGAGGGATTTGAGGAACTATTGCATGTCTGTGAGTTATGTTTGCAGAAAAAAGAGATTTCTGTGCTCAAAAATGAACGCACCCTTTCTGGGGCACTCAATACGGCATTCTTCTCGTTACAAAGCGTCACAGAAAACATGAATAAATAGAAATGATTTGTTTCCATTTTCGAGTACAAAGTACACGTGATCCTAAACAATTGATGTTCTTGTTGTAATCAATCTTTCTTTCTTTCTTTATCTTTATCTTCAATTAAACATATTTGCAAAAATCGGTGATCCAAAAGTGATCTTATTGTGATTTGTATTGAGTGAAACCGATTCCCGATTGATACTTTTTTGTTGTCGAATTGATTGATGGATGGATTGTTCGTATGAAGAGATTCTCTCTTTCATGTAATCTCCCATTGATCATCATTCGCGTTTCTTTCGATATCAATACGAGAAACCTAAATTGAAAATATTACACATAAAAACTAACAAGTTCTTGATGTTCTTGATGGCTCTGAAGAAAGAAAAAAGCAGATAGAAGAAAGAAGAAAGAAGAGAGAAGAAAGAAGAAAGAAGAAAAGAAAGAAGAAAGAAGAAAGAAGAAGAAGAAAGAGAGAAGAAGAAAGAAGAAGAAAAGAAGAAAGAAGAAAGAAGAAAGAAGAAAGAAGAAGAAGAAAGAAGAAAGAAGAAAGAAGAAGAAAAGGAACTTAAGTACTAAATTAGAATAAGTAAAAAGTAAAAGAACAGGTCGTAAATACTGTAATAGTACCCCACCCCCCTCGTACAGTCGCGTAGTCGCAAAGTCGTAGTCATTTTTTAGTATTTCATTTTTTTCAAAGCGCCCGTACTTTCAAAAAATGCGTCTTTGGTATCAAAAAATAGCTGAAATCCAGGGCTATTTTTTGATACCTAAGCGCACATTTTAGCATAAACCAGTGTCGAGAAAAACTCGTTTTTTCGGGATGGTTGCGTAGTCTAACTTTAAACATCCCGTTCTCCGCGCTGCTTTATGCTACAATATGCACTTTAATATCAAAAAATAGCCCTGAATTTCAGCTATTTTTTGATATATGTTGTAGCATTGTAGCATAAACCAGTGTCGAGAAAAACTCGTTCAAAGTTAGACTACGCAACACTCCGCACCGTCATTATGGGGGTGGGGTACTATTACAGTATTTACGGTAAGTATTACTTGATTAGAATAAGTAAAACATAGACAAATCAATTCAGTAAGCATTCAGCATCATTGAGTATCACTTTTGTGAGTAAAAGCATCTACCAAAGCGGCATGAAATTTGCAATATCGGAGAAAAACGGTGAAAACTCGAAGAAAAACCAGAATTTCTCGATTGGGAGCGAATTTGTGATGATCTGAAAGGAATGGCATACAATTTTCATTGAAAATCTCTCACCAAATCAATCGTATTAATAAGTTGAGCCAAAAATTGTACAACAGTTGCTATATGGAAGATAAACTCTCGTCGATTCCCAACTTTTTTCATTTCTTTTGAATAACTGTATAATTTGATGCAAGTATAGATATTGACAAAGAGACAAAAACAAACAATTCCAACACATAATGGGAAATTGAACTCTTTCAAGAAAGCCTAAAAGATGATTGGAGAAGATTGGAGAAGATTGAATGAAATTACCGTAAACAGATTAGTCGGCTCATCATACGGTATGTAAAATCCCCAACTTCCGCGTTGAAAATAACTATGATTTGTGACATAAGATGAAGTGTAGAAAAAAGGGAAAAGGAAACCGAGAAAACAAGTACGCCAAGTGTTACGACTCCAGAACTAAAAGACAACTTGTAGAGGATACTTGCCGTCACTCACTTTATCATAATGATGAGGAAAAGCAAGTGATGTGGCTCGATTGATTGCAATCAGAAGAGTACCGATCACTTGTAATTGAACACATAAACCATTTAAATATCCTAAAGCGCTTGGGAAGAAGCCTGTCTGAAAATTGTTTGTGTTAAAATATGAAATCCTTTAAAACAAACCCTTAGAAACCAATACCATTCATGAACACCCCATGTTGGAAGACGAATTCGAAAGAGAATCACATAATGGAGGATTAAATCCTGAATGAAAATTGAGTCAAAGAATTGTATATTGTTGTATGATTATTATGATTATTCTTTTTCTTTTTCTTATTGTTATACTCCTTTGTTTTGTGAGTAAAAGCATCTACCAAAGCGGCATGAAACTTGTGACAAAATTTGACTCTTCTCAAAACTGACATTTGTCGTGCAGAGTAAGAAAATCTTTTGATAATGCGTTTTGATTCCATATTTCAAATAAAATAAAAGTAAACGAAAATAGACTAAAACGGTGATGAAACCAATAATTGAACATATTGTGCTTGATGTTATTTCGAAGGGATCAACGAAATGATCGATGAAATCATCTGGTTGAGTCCAGGGATTCCCATTTGAATCCAATCCAAGAATGCTTTCATTCGACATTTCCTGGAAAATATTCTTATTTAGAGTTACAGTGGTCCACAAATGTATTTGTCCCATTGCCATCCAAAAGTTTCTTTCGTACGAAAATCTTGCAAAACAACGATATTCCCAAAAAGTGTAGGGGTATTTTGCTTACCCTTTGTTGTTTTTACTTATTGTTTTTGTTTTATACTTTAATTTTTCTGCAATGTATACGGATAAATCTTATAATCCTGAAAAGTAGAGTATTATGGGCAAGCAAAATACCCTACACTTTTTGGGAATATCGTTGTTTTGCAAGATTTTCGTAGGAAAGAAACTTTTGGATGGCAATGGGACACAAATGTACATTTGTGGACCACTGTAGGTATTTAGAAAATCAGAATACAACAATATCCATTTAAATAAAAAATCAGAATACAACAATATCCATTTAAATAAAAAATTTGAAAACTTTTATGATATGAGTTTTTCTGGAGGGATTTGCAATGGACTTTTGTTCAAATTTACAATGGACTGTTTAACTAATCTTAAAACTAATCAAAATGTTCATTGCCTGCAAGATTATGATTCGGATTGTAGGCAAATGAATTGAAATTTTACAAAAGTTGAAAAATTCAATCATTCTATTGAGTGAAGCTCTTGTGATTTATTTAAATTAGAGCAATAACAATTAGATGTACTCAGCTATGATATTTCGGAGAATAATTTAATAATATGATATTTCGGAGAATAATTTCAGGGTCAAACGTGCCAATTATCAATTTATAACTACATAGGTATCTCAATTAGCATTTTGGATATTTGTAAACTCGAAAATGGCTCAAATCTTGGTTCAACTTTTGTATTTTATGAAATTTTCTTTTCTTTCTTGAGACCAAAAAAACATCTCCAAAATCTCAAGGGATCGACAAAATGGGGGGATTTTTGAGGGGAAACATCTCAATTCGTTATTAGGGTAGAAAATGAGTGATTTGTGAAGATTTCTGAGAATGGAAATCATTGATGAATCGGAAGATGTTGAGGAAGTCACAGAATAGAACAAGACAACGGATTTGTACTTCAAGTTTTTGGATTGTCAAATAGCAGTTTCAATCAAGACCTCAAAGAAACCTTTTTTTGAGTGAAAATTTGGTAAAGTATACTTGTAGAATATGAAAATGAAGGTGAGAAAGGAAAGCAGTCAAGCCGATTTCAAAGAGGAATGAATATGGAAGTAGAAAGTTCATGGTTTAAAGAATGATTCAAAGTCTGAGAATGGTATCGGTTTTAATATACGAGAAAGATATCAAAGTTTTCCAGATAAACTCTTCAACAAGACTTTTTCAACAACAAACAACAACAATTGATTCTTTTCAGAATTGAATTTTTAACCCATCAGAGCTTTTTTTTTAAAGAACAATCACATTTCATGACTCCATTCTATGCAAATAGCTGAATTTTGACCTGGGCATGATGTAATTTGATCTTCTAAAAGGAAAGAACGTCTTTTGTTTCGACCTTAGGAGGAAAACAAATGGATTTTTAAGTGATGGATACTGTATTCTTTTCGATTTCTAATATCAGCAATTGTATCAAACGTAACCTTGAAGAACTATGAACTCATTTTTGTCTATATCATTCATCTTTACTGCTCAATTAGAAACAGTAAGCACAGTCAAAGATGAAGCTACGATAGTCATTTTCATTATTTCATTCATTCATTGTTTTCAAGTCGGTACGATAAAGCTTATGTGAATCATCTCATCACCATTCTCTCTATTCAATTTACCCATTTTCCATCTCAGTTCAAATTTTTGCCATAAATTTCCCCCAAACTCTTTCCAAAGTGTCGTTGAAAGGGCAAAAAGAAGAGAAACCTGTACAGAACTTGTCTTCTTTTTTTTCTGTTTGTTTTTTCTTCTTTATCTTTCTCTCAATCTCTCATTTTTCTCAAATATTTCTTTTTGAATCGGTAAATTTCTTTTTTTTTCTCTTCTTACCTTTTCTCTGTCATTTTCCGTATTGAATTTTGTCTTTTCACTCTTTTTGAACTGTACTTTGTAGTGGCTTTTCCCTTTTTTTCCTAAAAATCATTCTGGAAATTGATTGATTGATTGAAGAGATTCTTAAATGTCAAATGAAGTTTTCTTTCTTTCTTTCTTTCTTTCTGAACAATAATAAAACTCAAAAAGCTTAAGAAGAAGCCATTAAAGCTTATCTCTCTATAATTTTTACCAAATTTCTTTATCATTTTTAAATTGGAAACTCTGCAGAATGTCTTTTCTATATCTATCAAATCGATAGGTCAACAACCTGAAATTTGAGCCTGGCTTTAAGAAATTTAGCTTAACCTTGAATTTTATTCATTTTTGATCATGACTGACTAAACATAACAATCTAAAAACCTTCCAAACCCAATTCTCCCCTCTGAACATCAATAAACTCTTCTTCAATTTTTCCCCTAATTCATCTCAAAAAAATTTTCTGCTTTTCTTTCAATTTTCACATCTGTATTGGGTAAAAAGCTTTTACCGAACATTTCGAGAATCAAAATATTGTTAGTATTTATGTTATAAACTATTTTCTTTTTTTTTCTGTTCTCTTCAACACCTTTTTTCACTTTTGTTTTCACAAAGAGGCAACCATAGCTACGAGACAGAAACCAAAAGACTATTACGAAATGTTAATTGTTTTGAAAGCTAGTTTTAATTATTTCTACTGAAAAACAAATAACTTTTCCTTTTGTAATCAATTTTCAGAATGAAAACCTCATCATTTTAAATGACAGACGAAATCGAACAAAGAGAAGAGGTGCCGAAGTCTCGAAAGAGAACGGGCAAGAATCAACCGGTCCAAGGTGAATTTCCAAGGGACAACTCTTTGTCCATTGTCCAAGGGACAACTCTTTGGTCAACCTTACTCAAAATGGTAAACACACTCTTTCTGACACACTAGGCTCTTCGTTTTCTATCATCGAAGGTTTTAAAACACTAGAAAGGATGTGTTTCTTTGAGTACAAAGAACATGAAGAGCTTGAAGGTTTCATAGCATAAGTCATTAGAATAATCTTCAAACCCAACATGCCAAAATGCCAATGTCGCTTATGATCTTTCGAATAGAATCAACTCTTGTTTGCCCATCAAAAAAGGGCGGTCATATCGATGACAAATCGCCTCTTTCCACAACTTTCTCACCTTGTCCATTTCAATGATAAGGGCCCCGTTTGCAATTTTTTTATGCAACTATGCAAAAAGATTTTGAATACTTTTGGAATCTCATCAAATCACTTTTACCCAATAAATTTCTTGATCTTTCATATCACGCGAAGCCAAAAGGTAACTCGAATGAAATCTCTATTTAAATATATTGGGTTGATGAATTTGGTGACACCAAAATGGGTTTCTTTTGAAGAACGTGCTCAAACTGTCACATATGACAATAGCCCGCAGTTTTCAATTCACTAACCTAATATTTAGATTCAAAATGGCGACAACAGAAACTGGCTGCCTATCGACCGGTCTTTAATGCGACTTCGGTAATTTCTGAGAGAATTTCAAGATCTACATTGTATTGAAGGTTTTCCCATGGACAACGATTCTCGGGGCGATCTTTCTCGGCATTGGGATACTGCTTTTTGTCACGAATTTAAATGGTGTGTGATTAAAATAGCCAAAAACTTTAACCCAATTCTAGCAAAAGAGATCGTGATCGATTACACGAATTGTCGAAATCCGAATGGATCCGATGTGAATGAATTCATTGAATCAAATGACGGAGCATTCATCTCACTTATTGAAAGGACCGAGCACGAAGGAGAAACAACGCTTAATTGCCAATTTCGCATTAATCTCACTGAGGATTATTTTGTGAGTGTAAAAATTGTTGAAACTTTATTGAATACTCTTAGGGTAATGTCAAAATCTACTATGGTCTTCGTAATTTCTATCAAAACACTCGAGGTTATGTGAAATCGAGAAGTGATATTCAGGTATTCTTCTATAATCTATTTTTTATCAATTCAGAGTGTTTTATAATTTCATTTTTGTAAATTCAGTTGGCAGCAGCGAGTCCGAGTGATTTATTGAATACGGGTGATTGTGGATCTGATGACAGCAAGGATACAATTGAAAGAGATGGAGAAAATAAGACTCTCGTCATTGCACCTTGTGGGAAAATTGCTTTCTCGATGTTCAACGGTTGGAGCTGGAAAGATTCATTGTTAAACTTTACAAAGCAAGATTTCAGATACATTCAAGTTGACATACAAGGATATAATTGAAGTCCCATTGACCACACGAGGAATGGTTCATGAAACGGATATGGCCAAAAAATTCAAGAATCCACCATTGCCCGCTGGAAGCTCAAATCTCTGTGACGCGTTTGCGGTGAGATCGAAATTTTGATAAGATATTTAGCGTGAAAATCTGGATCTAATGCCACAGATAAGCTACTAAACTAAAAGAAGAAGCTTCTCGTTTTTCTTTTCTTCTTTTTCTTACTTTCAAAAGCTATCAACGATTGGCTCTCTTTCAGAACACGACAAAGCCGAAATCATGGCCTGCGCCGATTTGTGAGATTTTCAGCAAATCCGAAGCTGGACAGGGATTTGCAAATAAAGATTTTCAAGTGAGTTCTTGAATATAAAACTTTAGAGTTTTTAAATTTTAGGTCTGGATGGAACCGGCTGCTTTACCTCATTTCCGCAAGATTTATCGCCTTCTCGATCGAGAGGTTTGTCAATCAAAGTTTCCCATAAGATACAGCAATCAAAAGAAAACTATTGTAATCTGTTCCTATTCGTTTAGAGTTTTATGAATGAGACAGAAGTGGAGGTAAATAGAAGCTATTCATCCCTTTGTATATCAAAAAAATCCCGATGTTCAAAGAATTCCCCTACCGTAAATACTGTAATAGTACCCCACCCCCTCGTACAGTCACGTAGTCGCAAAAGTTTTTTCATCATTTCATTTTTTTCAAAGCACCCATACTTTCAAAAAATGCGTCTTTGGTATCAAAAAATAGCTGAAATTCAGGGCTATTTTTTGATACTTAAGCGCGCATTGTAGCATAAACCAGTGTCGAGAAAAACTCGTTCAAGCTAGCTAGACTACGCAACACTCCGTACCGTCATTATGGGGGTGAGGTACTATTACAGTATTTACGGTATGTGATCAGAGCTTTACAAAGAAAGATTTAGAGATAAATCTTTTCAGGCTGATATCTTTTCGAAGGGATTACCAAAGGGAGAGTACACTTTGACGATCACCTACAGTGAGTTTAAATGGAAAAGACTGTAAAAACAATGTTTTCTAGATTACCCAGTAGAGCCTGGCGAGTTGAATATCAACAAAACATTCATCATTGCAATTGAGACATGGGCTGGACCAAAGAACTTGTTTTTACCAATAGGTAAGCCTAAAAGCAGTGAAGCTCGCAAGAATCAGTTTATGGAAAAATGGCTCAACAATACCAGTAAACTTTAGCCTATATAATTGTCGGTGGAGTTCATTTGTTCATCAGTGCCGCTCTCTTCGGCCTCTATATCCGAATGAGATACAAATCGGATTAATCACAAATTTTTCAAGTTTTACCTGATTTATCCCAGATGTAGATTGCCCATTTTGCCCAATTTGTACTTTTTTGTATCTTCACTTACCCAATCATCCAATCTCAATTCAGAATCGCGGGTATCATTTTGTGTTGTTTACCTTTAGCCTAGTCATTCATTGAGTGTGATTACTGCCCGGTAAAGTTGCTGAAATTTATTTTATTAAATGCAATAAAATTATTGGTAAAACAGATCAATAAATATATCTATTAGGCTGTCCAGAAAGCTTTTTCGTCCCTTTTCCTTTCCGTTTAAAACCAACAAATGCACCAATTGAACTACGGTTTGTTTCATTAGAAAGGTCAATTATTTTTCTGTAAAATAACATTAAAACGGGTTTAAATGTCTTATGTCTGGTTTTTTTGGGAGCGGGAAGTCGAGTAGTCGAAAAGGGCGACGGCTCGATGACGCGATTTAGGCCTTATTTTTCAACAGAAGTATGAAAAAGAACGAAAAGACTTTCTGGACAACTTAATAGTTAAGTAGGGAAGTAGGGAAGTTTGTGAGCAAGAATTGCACCGGCAAAATTCACACAAAATGAGATTACCCTTTTTTGAGTACGTTAAGTGAGCAAAAGTGTAAAACGGATAACTGCTGGGGAATAATATAAGCTCGTTAAAGGTTATTGTTCTAAAATGGATACATAGAAGGTGAGAATCGGAGGTGAAATTGAATGAAGTATGGATGTTTTAGTTTATAGGCTATATTACTTTTCACATCTTTCCTTTTCTCAGCAATCGACCAACTTTCGAGTCATCAGAAAGGATACTTCGGATCAAGAAAACCTGAAAATTTTGTTTTATCAGCTTGTATATAATTTGAGCCACAAGTTGATCTTAATTTTCACTTACCTGTACGAAACATGCAGTCAACATCACCAATGTGTTCACCGTTCCCCAGAAGTTGATGTTCTCGAAATTCGTCTCCGCCAACGTCCTATCAATACTAGCATTTTGCAGTTTGATCTTTATCTACCTATCAATGTATTCGATGTGTTGCAATGCCTGTTGGATACTCTCAATTTGACTCAAATGAGTTTTGATTTTCCCTGTAGCCATCTAAATTCCTTGCTTTGCAGTTGTTATGTTCACCTTTTACCTCAAAGAAATCTAGTCGAGCTTCCAAATGTGCAGCCGAAACTTGTTCCAATTCGTTGAGATCACTCATAAAATTTCCATCTTTGTCCATCACATAGACGTGTAGTGCCACCTAGCAGAAACAAAATAGTTATGGTTTTGTTCTGAAATTGTACAATTTTGTTTGCAGTTGTGCTGATCTTGTTGTCAAAACACATCACGTAATCACCAATCGGGCTTTTTGATAGATCGACTCTGAAAGTGGAGATTTCGCAACAATATATCCATCATGCTTTTTACAAATTTGCATTTAAAGCACAAGTACCGTGTCCTTTTAATTATTTCTGTCTTTTTTCACTTACGTATGCCTTCCATGCATTTTTGCTGTTTCATCAGCCAGCAATTGTTGAGACGGGCTTCTCAGTGTAAACGAAATATCCAATCCACTACCACCTTTTAGAACCTAGATATACTTTTTGAGACTCTGGGGTTTTAGTTATATAATAAGAGTATTGTCCAGGCAGTAAACTGACAATCCAGTTGACTTCCATCGATCCTGCTTTCGGATTCGTGATCGTGTGCCAAAAACATTCGACTTTCCCCGGATCCACTCTCACCGTGATTCCAACCTATTGGTAATTTTTGAATTGACGTTATTCATTCTTCCATTTAACAGGTAAGGCGCTACTAAAGTCACAACCATTAAGCAAATTTACCTCATCCTCGGAAATAATAGCATTTCCAATCGTGAAAAATATGGCTGTTAGAGTAACAAGCCTCATCTAACTGAAACTCCTTAATACAGCGTATTCAATAATTAAATGAAAATATTTTAGATATGGATCTTCCAAAAATGAAGTTGTTTTGTCTCGAGATGGAAAGAAAATAATTTATCACCCCTAAAATATAATAATTATGCAAAGTAACACATTCAGAATAATATGCGAAACCCATAAAGAAAAACCGATGACTAAATCAATAATAAAGACATATCACAGAGAATGAAAGAGGCGGAAAAAGAAACAAAATTAACAACAACCTGATGGAAACATAACACAATTAATCAATCTTGATGTGTGCCTTTTCGAAGAAACTGGCCGATTTTTGAGTTCTCTTCGAAGAGGCTTCGAATCATATAGACCTAAATTATCCAACATTAAGCATCCATGCTAACCATTGTGCTTGACCGATAACAAACTAACCTGGATACCAGCTACAAACATTAACACCAGAGCGTTCAAAATCGACCAAAACGTGACGCGATCCAGATTTGCATTCATGATTGCTCGATCTCTAGCTTCATGGGCTCTAAATTTTTGTTTCTTTAACCATAAACCTAATTTAATATACCTTAAAACGGCTTGATGGTATTCCACCTTGTTGAAATTGTTCTTGATCCTCGTAGCAGAACTCTAAACAAAACAGCAAACATTAAAACTTGATTTTCAGAACTCACTTGAAAAACTTCGACAGTCACTCCAAGGTCCTCCATACGTTTCTTTAAATTAGCATCCTAAAAAGACATTTTTGATATCTGAACTTTTAGTTATTACCTGGAGTCCTGCCCTAGCATAGTCAAAGTCGTCCAAATTCCCAGCGGCATCATAAAGAAAGATTTCGAAGAAAACAACCTAAAAGAAAAATAAAAATTTAACCAGAAAAACAACAAACCTTTCGTGCCTGATAGCTGAATGCATTGTCGAAACAAAATTGATAATCTCCAGGTTGTTTAACTTCGATTCTGAATTTAAATAGATACAAAATTTTTTGAAAACTTACTTGTGGCTTCCATCGGTTTTCATATTTTCTTGAACAAGAACTTCGGCACCGAGTAACACCATGAAATTAATATTGAGGTCGCCTCCATCGATCACCTAAAAATATCAAATATGTATATATATTGAAATGCAATGATTGAACTAAATTAAGCATCCGTCGAAAAGGAAAACGTCAATTTGCATGCCTAGCTGGCGTATATCGATAACGACCCGCGTCTTGTAGTTTTAGGAAAGCGGCGTTTTAGCGTAAAACGAACGTTATCAGTCAAATCCAAACCACAGAAAAACCGCCTGAAAGGCACGCCATCAGCTATGAGAATGCATTACATAGCTAGGCTTATTTAAAGACAGGCTGATAAACCGTACCTGATAATCCACTTCTATCGATTTGTACTTCGAGTCAGTGACCGCTTGAAAGTAGCATTGAAACTTCCCGGGAGGCACCTCAACGGTGAAGTCATATTCTCCGCATATTGTTAGAGCCACCAACAAGAAGAGCAACAACAATGCTCTCATCGAATCTAAAAGATAAAATTCGAGTTTAAGCGCCGTACAGAGAGAAAGATTTAAAAAGAAAATTCTATAAAATTTATGCGTTTCTCCAACGAGGGCAAATAGTTGCAACTTCTTGGCACGCTATATCGTGGCAACTCATTTGGCAGACAGCCAGTTACGGTAGAATCCGCCACAAATTTTCCGTCTTTCTTTCATTTCTCATAAATATCTTTGTATAATGCGATGTTTCTTGTTGTTTTTTCAATCTAATCCTTCTTTGTTTGTATTTTAGAAGCACGCCTTTACACCCAGCTCTTTGCATTTACACCCAGTAGCCTCTCTAGTACTACTTTAGTATCGGGGATTTTGGCAAATTTGTGTCACTGAAAAATGCGAATTTTTGGAATTTTGAAATCTTATTAGAGTTAGAAAGTCACACAATATTTTAATCTAATCCCTAGCCCCATCACATTTTCATTTTTTCCCTGCGCAACTTTCGATTTGGTTTATCATTTCTTAACTCTTAATTTCAGGTAAAATGCCACCAAAGACGGCCAAAAAAGCGGACCCGAAGGGTGGAAAAGCGCCAAAGAAGAAAGAAGGCGGAGGAGGTGGAAAAGCGAAGAAGAAGAAGTGGTCGAAGGGAAAAGTCAGAGATAAACTCAACAACATGGTGCTTTTCGATCAAGCGACCTACGACAAACTCTACAAAGAGGTATATTTGTTTTACTTAATATAGGTTAGATATTTAAGTCGAGCCAGCAAGTTTTTCATGTCATAACAAATCTGCCAGTAGTTAAAGAGGTAGCATTGGTAACAAGTACATGGCTCTATGAGATACATCTAAGAAGGAAATTTGCTAATGAGAATAAGACATTCATTGATAATATGCTGATAGCAACCAGAGCTTCATTGATTACTAGGTATACACTTCACTATCCTATCTCATTAACCGAATTACCTGAAATAGTAACATACTTGATTGTTTTTTTTAGATCACGACCTCCAAGCTAATCACCCCTTCAACTGTTTCCGAACGATTGAAAGTCCGCGCCTCGCTCGCAAAAGCTGGACTCCGGGAGCTGCAAGCGAAAGGACTAATTAAATGCGTCGTCAAACACGGATCCCAATTAGTTTTCACCAGAGCGACAAAGGCGGATGACCCAGCAATTGTTGAATAATGTTATTTTTCTAAAATAAATTTTATTTTTTTGGCGCAATATGTCTTTTTCTCGGTTAAATATACACTCGTATTTGTGTCAGCGAGATTTCGTTCTTGCAGTTACATCATGCACTCGACTTTTTGTGTAAGTTGGTATTTGAGTACCAAAGCTTTGTTTTCACGTTAGCGATGCAAAACCGCAATTTTGAGCTCGTAGCAATTACGGGAATTCTGAACCTCCGTTTTCCTATAGACGATTTTTCCTTGCGCGCTGTGAGCTCTGCTCATCAGCTGTAGGCGAATGAAATTTCGCAAGTTGGACCAGTAAACCTAACGCGGCGTTGCTAGATTTGGGTTGAAGTTTCTGGGTTTTGAAATTTGATTTACGTTTTTTGATCACCCGGTTCAAAAGCTTGCATTCTATAGTAACCATTGGTTCAGATGTCAAAGCGCTTCGAAAAATCGTTAAGCCTTGCGACTGATTCGAACGTATTGGAAACCGACTGGGATGCCGTACTCGATTGTGTTGATCAAATACGAGGGGGAGAAGCAAAGTGAATTTTTTACTTAGACATTTAATTCATCTGCCTAGGGCTCCGGAAGCAATGGTTCTTGTGCTTTCCCGCTTAAAGAGTGAAAATCCTCATGTTGTTCTTCATGCACTTATTCTTTTGGAAGCAATGGTAAAGAACTGCGGAAAAAAGGTTGGCATTCAATTTGTAAGCTTGCATTTGCATGTCTAGGTTCACAATGAGCTTGCAACTCGCGAATTTATGGAGGGAATCAAAGAACTGGCTATTGAAGCAAAAGCAGAAACAGTCAAAACGAAAGTTCTCGAATTACTACAGTGCTGGGCGATGGCTTTTGCGAACAAAGCGGAATACAAAATAATCGTCGACACCCACAACTTGATGAAATTGGCTGGTTTTGATTTCCCGTCAGTTAAAGGTGGATTAAAGAATTTTTGTAAGTTAAGAGTTGTTTTCTAGAAGCAGCTGCGATGTTTGCTTCACAAGTGGCTCCAGAATGGGAAGAAGGAGCAAACTGTTATAGGTATGCACTATCAATGTTTTTGATCTTGCTGGTTTTCAGGTGTCGTTCCGAATTCACCTTTCTTACGCGGAAACATCACTGTCGCGCTTGTGGTCAAATCTTCTGCCATGGATGTAGCAGCAAAGAAATGTTGTTGCCACAATTCGGAATTGAAAAACCTGTGAGTTTGCTGACAATTTGCTCTTTTCTTCTAAATTGGGCATTTATATGCTTGTTCTACGAATTTTAGGTGCGTGTTTGTGATGCCTGCTACGAGAAGGGAGTTGGTGTTGCCCTTAGCAAACAATCAGCAACTCCAGCTCGGCCTAAGGTAATTGATTTTTTTGTTTGCATTTTGTGTTTGTGTGAATGCTTGTACTTGTCTGCAGTTTTCTTCATCCGCCGATGAATCAAGTGTTGTCGATCAATTTGGCGCCTTCTACGGGGACGATGACTCAATAACGACACTAAACGCACTTGCACAAAATAACCCGAATCGATTGTATGCTATTGGAAACCCACGTGCAGTTGCAAACCGTCAAAAGCAAGCAGAAAAGCCAGAAGGATTATTCAAGTCGCTTTTCAAAGGAGTTTTGGGAAATAAAAAGAGACCGGTAAGGTTTTCGCATCATTTCTTGATTTCATTTCTCCTCTCCCTCCTCGTCATATGGTAATATTGCTGCATGAGCTAGTAACCTTTGTTTGTCTTGACCTAGGTGTGTGAATCTAACCAACTGGCCTTAAAAAATTTAACGAATGGTCAAATTAGTATTCTCAACTCTTTTTTTCTAGGAATCTTCGTACAACCCTGCTGCAACCGATCCTGGAGCTGAAGAGCGGGTAATGTTTGTTAGTTTTCCAAAAATAATGTATTATTAGGAACGACAAGCAAGACTCGCGAGGGAAAAAGAAGAAGAGGACTATCAACTTAGTCTGGCCATGGCTATCTCTCAAAGCGAAGCGGAAGCAAAAGTAATATATTATACTTTTTTTAATAAGCAACAATGTGTAGCTTCAATTTTGCTTTTAGGAAAAAGAAAGGGCAAATTCACTTTACTCGTTTTACAATGGCGTGAAAGATCAAGTTAGCAGTCACGTGTCATCGCCCATGAACGATACCATGTCGATTGCTCCTTCGGAACACATCGGTGTTTATAAAGGAGCCGCTGATAGTGTTCGAGGTAACTTTTCTTGGTTTGTAAAAGAAATGTACCGAGATTTTAGAATCGCCTTCTGAGAATTCATTGAATGCTGATGATCCTCTTGCACGTTATCTTAACCGCGATTATTGGCAGCAACGAAAAGAAAAAGCAAACGCAAAAGTCGAAAGTTGGGACGTCAATCCATCAGCGCCATTGCCAAGCGAACCTTCTTTGGGAGGAAGCAGCTACGTTCCTACTGTGCGTGGAAGTCCCCCTCCAAACAATCAAAAAGAACTGGGTATGTAACACGTTGTTTTCAGATACATGCTATGTAGGTTAGGCTCTCTAATATGTTCAATTTTAGTCTATTCGACTGGTCTTTCTTCCCTTGATGAGGAGACTCTCCAAAAAAGTGAAGATACCAAGAAATTTTGTGCTGATGTCAATGAACAGGTATTTTTGTATCATAATATTTATTACTGACAAGCGTTTAACGACGAGTTCCATCCTCGAAGAAAACACCACCATCAAGAGCGCAATACTTAGGACAGATTCCACGCTCTCCCTCGATGCCAGAGTTGCCGTCATTTCCTTTGGATCCAGGGGTTCCATCATTTCCGGGCTTTCCAGGGGCGCCATCGGGTCCCTTAGGTCCAGGCTCTCCCCATTTTCCTGGACGTCCAGGGTTTCCGGATAGTCCATGGGGTCCTTGGGGTCCGTCTTTTCCGGGTTCTCCAGCTGGTCCAGGTTGGGGTCCCTTACTCTCCGCATCAGGTCCATGAGGTCCCGGCTGTCCAGATTGTCCAGGACGACCAGGATGCCCGGGCTGTCCTTTGGAACCTCCTTGACCGGGCTCTCCATCGGGTCCTTTGGGTCCAGGAGGTCCATGGGGTCCTGGGTAACCATCTGTTCCGGGTGGACCTTGGGGTCCGGGCTCTCCAGCTGGACACGGCTCACATGGTGGTGGGGTGACTGGCTCGCACATGTTGGATGGAGCACGACCAGGGTTTCCAGGCATTCCAGCGGATCCGCTACGTCCAGGGCGACCATGTTTTCCTGGAGCTCCTTGTGGTCCAGCGGGTCCGGGCAAACAGCATCCTTGGCATTGGGAGGCTTGACGAGCAACCCTGGTCCTGTTGTTCACTAATGGCTCGGCACCCATATGATAAACCTAAAATTCGCTAATTCGCTAATCAACATCCCTTTTAAAAGTCTTAAATTATGGATAGCTTAAACCACCTCATTCCAGGTATCCTTGACTTGAACACGGCACTTTTCCATCTCAACTCCAACTTGCTTGCGCATGTGAGACACGTAGTTGTACATCTAATTGTCCATGAATTAATAATACTCCTATAAAGATTAGTTACCATGGGCATTGTAATGCAGATGGAAAGCACAGCGACGGTAGAGAATCCGATGGCAGCATAGCCAACGAAGCGATACGCCTTAATCTTGGTGTCAATCTCCATGATTATGGTGGAACCTCGGTGGTGATGTGGGCGCATTAGTGAGCCTTTTATATGCTTGGCGGGAGTGGGGGTGGCATTTGACCTTGTATTTTTTAGAAAGTCTCCGCTTATCCCCTAGAGTTTTTTGGGGCCGGTTTTTCCACTTTCTGTCAAGTATCTTCTTATCTTTTTAGGTACCCGCTTTTTCAACCCCTATTTTTGCCGTTTTTTATAGCGCTGCCAGCCGGGACAGAGCGACCTTGATTTTTTTCCTTCAAGCAAAGTGTTCTGGGGTGTTGGGTAGCTAGTTTTTGGCAAAAAGTAAAAGTTCATTAGATCCACCAATTACAAAAATTCATTAGAGCATGCATTAAGAGGACGCATAAGGATAACGATTTGTCATAAAATTGAATCAAAAATAAAAATCAATTTCAAGCGAAAGCTTATTCACAATTTAAGGGTATATTCTCAATCCAAGCTCTTTAGGTAGAATCGATGGAAAACAGAATTCGATCGAATATGGCTCGTAGTCGACCAATTTACAACGACACGGCTATTCAGGTAGCTAACATCAATGTTTCTATTCTTTACGCAAAATAGGGAATCTACATGCGTCTCACTGAGCTTCACTCACAAGTCATGCAACGACTGAATGACTTGGAACAACAAAGAGGTGAGAAGCTTGACACTTTACCGGTAACTTGTGTATTTCCTTTAGTTTATTTTGAGTCTTTGCAAGATCAACTCGGTCACATTACGGAAGCTCGTGCGGCCGTTAACTCTTTGCGGTAGGTTTATGCTGAATTCTAAAATAATTTGTAACTCTTTTCCTGTTCACTGTGTTTACTAGCACTTGTGAAGTAAAAAAGAGTAAAATAATCATTGGGGTTCTTGTAATCTGATTTAGCATTCTATCTCAGTTAAAGCCGAGCTCATACAGCCTTAGATTAAACATATATTCGTTAAATCATTTATATTGACAAAAGTTTTTTAGGGAGGAAGAAGCTAGAAAAAGAGCGGAAATCGCAGCGGAAGAACAACGCGTTCGTCAGCTGCAAATGCAGCATAAATTGGCTGCGATGCGACAACAAAAACATGTAAGTTGCGTCTATTGCTAATTAGTTTTTAGATTACAATTTAGGATATGCTATTGTATCAGCGACAAGTTGCCATTCAACGTTTTCAACAACAGGAGGCTGAAATGGCTGCTCGCCGTTCACAGCAATTCTACTCACCAGCTAGCTACACTTCTCCACAAGGTATGGAAGGTGAAATAAAAGGATTTATTTTCTAATCCTACATTTTAGTGCAACAATATCCGTACAGCCAAATACCGATGCAGCAATACCCAAATCAAACTCTGAATCAAACATATGGTGTTTATCAGCAGACGACTCCACAAATGCAACCGAATTTGCAACAACAACCACAGCAACCATATCCTGGACAGCAAGTTAACGGAACTGGGAATTATCCCCTTGTTCATCAAAACCCGAACGGATATTCGGATGGTGGTCAGGTTTGGTTTTGCAAATTTGCTCTTCTATCGACATTTTTTAGATACAACATGGTGCTTACTTGCCTCATGCCACTCAATCGGCAAATAATGTACATCAAGTGGTTGCGAATGACGCTATTCAACAAGGATATCAACAATCCGTTCATAATTCCCAGCAACAATATCAAGTAAAATGTTTTCGCGTACTTAAATGTAGAAAATCTTTAGCCGTCTCAAGCATACGATCCCGCCGCAAACAATTCTCAATATAACGTTGCAACCACTGCACCTTCAACAAATCAATATTATCAACAACACAATTATCAGGTTAGGCGTTGATATGTGATAATCCTCATTTAAAATTTAGGCGCCAGTGAACAATGTAGCTCAACATCATTATCAGGAAGGCGTGCTTGTGCCCAACGCTCCCGTTCAGCAAGTGCCCGCTAACTATCGTATGCCATATTTATTAGTTTTTCTAAAGCGTTTTTTTCAGTTCCTCAGGCAAACGTTCAGCCTTCAGATCCAAACGCAGCTCAAGAAGGATTACTCATTTCTTTTGACTAAAAATTAGCAGTTTTACTATTTTATGATGCTTCTTTTTATTCTTTTCAAAGCCTTTTCATTTGTTCTGTACATATTATATGGCTTTTTGCAGTTATGATTCATCGTGAAAATTTCCTTGTGATAAAAATGATTCCGGATAGGAAGCTTAAGTTTTTTGATGGGTGGTGATTGGTCGATTTTATTTATTTTCTGCAAATAAATGCGAAATAAATTATTGCCAAGTATGATTTTGTGTTCTTTGGTAGGTAATGTGCCTTTCAGCTTACTTGGATGAATTTACAACTTTATTCCTGGGTTTATTAGTACGAATGTGCAAAATGATATCAAAACTTTTAACGTCTGGTGGTTCCATCCTCGAAGAAAACGCCGCCATCGAGAGCACAATATTTTGGACAAAGTCCCTTTTCGCCCTCGACTCCGGCCTGTCCGTCACATCCGGGTTTTCCATTTTGTCCGTCCTCTCCGGGTCTTCCAGGAGCTCCGTCAGGTCCTTTGGATCCTGGTTGTCCATCTTGCCCATCAGTTCCATCGGCTCCCGGCTCGCCAGGTGGTCCCTCCAAGCCGTCTTCGCCAGGTTGTCCAGGGGCTCCTGGCTGTGGTTCTCGATTTTGTCCATCATGGCCATTTGGACCAGGTGATCCAGGCTCTCCGGGGTGGCCAGGTTGTCCACGACCTCCCTTTGGTCCAGCATCTCCGGGTTCTCCATCAGGACCAGAGGGTCCCGCTGGTCCGTTAGGTCCGTCGTCACCGGAAATTCCTGGGGGCCCTTGGGGTCCGGGCCCTCCAGCTGGGCAGGGCTCACATGGTGGTGGAGTCATTGGTTCGCACATGTTGGTTGGTGCACGACCAGGGTTGCCAGGCATTCCAGGAGTTCCGGAACGTCCTGGGCGTCCGTGTTTTCCGGGCGCTCCTTGTGGCCCAGCAGCTCCGGGAAGACAGCAATCGTCACACTTGGATGCTTGACGGGCCACCCTTGTGTGATTTGCAACGAGAACCTCTGATCCCATATGATACACCTTAATGAAAAATGAAAATAGCTTAACGACCACATTCTAACCTCATTCCAAGTGTCTTTGATTTGTGACTTGCATTTCTCCATTTCTAGTCCGGTTTGTTGGCGAATAGCTGACATGTAGTGATATACCTATTAATTTATTTAATGATTAGGTTTAGATAAGCACTTTACCATCGGAAGCGTGATCACGATCGAAACCACAGCAACCGTCGAGAAACACACCGCTGCATAGCCGACGAAACGGTAGGCTTTGATTTTCGTCTCTATTTCCATCCTCGGAATGAATATGGGGGACTCCTTGATAACTCGGATGGCAAGCCTTTTATGTACATTTTTGGGTGGCAGAGACAAATTCCAGAGAGTCTTTCCTCTTTTGCGCGCCATCTCTTTCCTTTCTTTTATCATGTCACTTCGAGGATCACCCCGCGCGATATCCTCTTTTTCTGATCGGAACCAACTTTCGTTTTTCAAGCCGAAAAAACTTTCTCTCTCAAAAAATGAAAACAGTTGGTGGGCCACTCAAACTTTGTTGTTCAAGTAAAAGTAGCTGAGATTTTCGGTTTAAAAGTTGTTGATTAAATAGAATAATTTCTTAGCTTCTAGGAAACGCGAAGTCAGAATAAATGGCCAAATCTGAATGCTAATGCTAGCTTCATTTCAAACAAAAATGTCATTAAAAACCTTAGATTAGCATTATAATTGTTTTTTCTGGGGCTTTTAGAGCTTAATTAGTGGGCCGACTCTCTTAATCCCCTTTCCTGTGCCCGTTAACTTTGTAGAGCGGAGTGGCCATTTTTTGACAATTACACTTGCATACTGGGCAATACTCTAGTGCTTTCGAAGTGCTTAAAGCCGTCGGTTAGGCTCAGCTTAATGCTACAAAATAGTTTTTGAACGTATGCAGCAATTTTTTTTGGCTGCTTTTCCGCTGACCTCATTTGCACCTGAACTTATTTTTAGACAATGTTGCGAAACTCAGAAAAAAAACCATTGTTACCTATCATGTTACTGGTAACATGATAGGTAACTTGATGAAGTTAAAATCTCTTCATGTAAAGATCTTCAGGAATCGTGTTTTCAAACATGGTTTTTCCGGTCTAGTTTTCCTAATCAGATACTGTGTTATGAGTGTTTTTGTATAAATGTTGGGTGTTTATCAAATTTTAATAGAAGAATTTATTCAATGCAATTTTTTTTAACGACGAGTTCCATCCTCGAAGAAAACACCACCATCAAGAGCGCAATACTTAGGACAGATTCCACGCTCTCCCTCGATGCCAGAGTTGCCGCCATTTCCTTTGGGTCCAGTGGTTCCATCATTTCCGGGCTTTCCAGGGGCGCCATCGGGTCCTTTGGGTCCAGGCTCTCCCCATTTGCCAGGCTCGCCATTGGCGCCAGGTGATCCCATATGTCCTTGTGGTCCGGCTGGTCCGGGAGGTCCACGAGCACCAGGTTGGACATTTTTTGATTCTCCGTTGGGTCCAGGATGGCCAGGCTCGCCGGGTCGTCCGTTTGACCCGGGTCTTCCGGGTGCGCCTTGAAGACCAACTCCACATGGCTCTCCTTCTGGACCTTCAGGTCCAGCGGGACCGGGTGGTCCCTAAAACAAATGTCTGTTAAAGTTTTAAAATGAACTGTTTACTTGATGTCCTTTAAGTCCGGGAGGTCCGGGTGGTCCGATGTCTCCGGCAGGGCAAGGCTCACATGGTGGTGGAGTGACGGGCTCGCACATGTTCGTCGGAGGACGTCCAGGATTTCCTGGAGCACCTGGGGCACCATTTCTTCCAGGGGTTCCGTGTCTTCCGGGAGCTCCTTTTGGTCCGGCCTCCCCCGGGTAGACAGCATCCTTGGCATTGTTTGGCTTGACGAGCCACCCTTGTGCTGTTCAACATCTTGCTCTCAACATTCATAAGACTGACCTATACAGGCAAAATGTTTTCTTTTCACAACACTCATTACCTCAGTCCATGTGTCCTTGATTTCAACACGACATTTCTCGACTTCGCTATTGATATTGCGTCTCATCTGCTGTGTGTAGTTGTAGATCTAAAAGTTTTCGATTAAAAATGTAGTCGGTTTACAAACGATAGGCAAGGTGATGCACACGCTGAAGACGGTGACGGCTGAGAAGAAAACAGCCGCATAGCCAACAAATCTGTACGCTCGAATCTTAGAATCTATGTCCATTCTTGATGTAGTGAATGGACTACTGTTATCCAATGGCCTGTTTCCTGCCGAGTTCTCCCTTTATGAGATTTCTTGCGGCAAGCCCCTTCCCATCGTCCATTTTGATGATATTAACCTTGACTAACTCTGCCGAGAATTTACTCTTTATCGGGCAAAAGTAAAGCGGCGAATTGTTTGCTACTCAACTCCGATATCCGCGATAAAGAAAGAGAGAGCTCGTTTAATCATTTTCTCTAATTTGTTAATCTTAGGCATTCGGCTAAGATTTTTACTTTTTTTTTTTGCTTATCACCGCCAATTGATGTTTTTAAGTGGCACTTTTTATTACTGATTTCTCTCCCTGGATGGGATACGCGCAAGGCTATTTGCGATCGTTTTTCGAGAAAGGGAACGGGCTTTTTCATTTCGGTGTTTTGAAGGACATTTAGAGAGATGTGCTGAAAAAATAGGATTCCAGCGTTTTTTGCTAGCAAGTAAAATTAAAATAAAGGGATTTAAAAATTTAAAGACAAATGAAGATATATTTTATGTAGTAATTTAGATGTTTTCCTCCGATGAGAAGTTACGGCCACGGGGGTATCCAAAGTTTTTTGGACCGATCTTGAAAGACACAGAAGAAAATCTGGTATTTTAAAATTTCTATTATAACTAGCTATAAGCATTTTTACTATTATTGACGAGCGTTGTAGGCATTGGAAGTTTGGTGTTATAAGATCTTTTGTAATTCCTTTAGGTCATCTTGTATACCAAGAACAACTGCAACGAATCGAAAACAATGCGGGATCGTTTAAAAAACGAAAAGATAAATTTTGTCGAAAAGGTTAGTCTATTATTCTGCTTTCAACTTCCATTAAACTAAAAAATTTAGAACATTGACAACCTTTCAAAAGAGAACCCACAGGCTGCAAAGGATTATGCCCTTGGATTGCGAGTGATCGCACAAAGCAAAGCATGCCGCAGCTTTTCGGTATTTTATTTTTTTTTTAATTTTGTAAAATTTTTAGTTTGTGGTGATTTGATTGGCGACATAGCAGATCTACAAAAAGCTCAACTAAATCTCAAAGAACTTGTCAAGCAATGTTTCGAAAAGAAAAAAGAAGAACCGGCGAATAGAGTTGACCACCCTTCATTATAGGTCTTTTTTAAATTATAAGAAATAAATATTTTGCCAGTGCCTTAATTTCAAAACTATGTTTGAAACATTTATGTTGTGAAAATTAATTAGTGGCAATAAAGCTTAGTTATTTAGGTCAAGCATGGGAGGTTCAACTTCGCAGCATAAACAAGAATTGCCAAAGATTTGTGATCCAATCGTCGAAGAAGTTCGCCAAAATTCAGTTAGCTTTTAAATACATTAAAACTTATCTTTTGATTGTAGGTTGTTATGTATTCTACAACATCTTGTGGTTATTGTAAAATGGCGAAGGATTTGTTGAGAAACGAAGAGATAGAGTTTGTTGAAAAGGTTATTTTTAACTAAATTTAATTTTAATAGCTTCTTTCAGGATATTGAAGCAATGCATAAGAACAGCCCCGAGCAAGCGACTCAATACGTAAAAGCGCTGCAAATTATCACAAAGAAAACTACAGTTCCGCAGATTTTTAGTAAGAATGTTTTTCTTTATTTAGATAGGAAAGTTTTAGTCTGCAAACAGCACATTGGTGGTTATACGGATCTTGACAAAGTTCGTCCACGTTTGCACGAAATGATATCAAGATGTGATCTTAATCACAAGAAGCCTTCCCGAAGTGTAAAAAACGAGAAAAGTATGCTCTAGCTTTTTGCTCTTATAGTGTGTATTATTAATTAGTTTTATAGTTTGATATCCATACATTTCAGAAATTTGCGCTGTTTTGTTTTATTATGCGGTTAATAAATCGTTTTCAAGGTTATTTTCAATCTTTTGTTTGAGAGTCTGATAAGCCATTCACTAATACATCAAGTAAACAGTAAAAGCGGTTTTTTTCTGTTTGCATTCACCAGGCTTTTTGCAATTTTCATCAACGAGTTGGTAAAGTTTATATTTTTTCAAATTTGATTGGTTGGTCAAATTATTTGGAGAAAATCGACAATGGATCGAACTTTTGTTTTCTAAATTTCGCTAGCTAAACGTCCAGAAAAAATGTATATATAATAACCATTAGCGAGAAATTTCCGTTAAAGATTTTCATTTTGCTAAATTTACCAGAGCGTAGAGCTCTTTCGCCCGTAGCTTAGACATGTTTTATTGCACGTAGGCCATATGGCAAAAATGTTCTCTTCTCTTTGCACATCGTTTCGAACTCTTTCTACTGGAAAGTTGCTAAGCGTCATTTTTCCCTGAGAATTTTCTTTTTAAGTAGGGTGGTCGGATCACGTTGATTGACTTTATATTTTTCCAATTTCAGGGAAGGTCTAAAAGATGGCCAGCCAACGAAGCTCGCGAGTTGATCAACCTTCTGTGTCAGGAAGCGAGGCGGGATCATTCACGTTATTCAACGGAGCCGAACTTCCACCTTTCAGGTTAATTGTTATTTTAAGATAGTTATTGGATTTGCTTTCTGTTAGTAATTCAGTTAAAACAAAAAGAAAGTAAATCTACATCTGAAAGGTTAACGTTCAAAACTAACATGCTTTGCTTTAGAGCCATAAACGACTTTCTTCTCGAATCGGCTCGCTATGAGGTTTATTTATGCTTATTTGCATGAAAAATTTTATTTTATTTTTTAGCGCCCTCCACTTGAAGATTTGGCTCGCTGGAATAATCGAATCATCTCCAATCTGCTCTACTATCAAACAAACTACTTCATGGTGTTCATTCTTTTGCTTGGAGGCTTTACGATTGCATACGGGCAGGTACGATATTATTATATTGAAATTAGTTATGGCCAAATTACTTTTTAACATTTAATTTAGGATTTTGCCGTCGGATTGTGTGCTATTTCGCTTGTAACCGGGTCGGCCGTATTCAGCATTTCACCAAATCCACGCTTCCATGAGGTAAGCGTTCTAAATTTGTTTTGGTTGGCCTAATAAAATCCAAAATTTTTTGTTTTAGCTTCGCCGTGAACATCCATTGATTACGCTTGGATCTATCGTCGTCTCATTTTACCTTTTCATCACCTTTCTTTGGTCTGTCGCAATAGTAAGTTTTCGCAAAACGGGCTTTATGACTATTTCATTGTGTTTAGGTTTTCGTTGGTGTGCTGATTCCATTGCTCATTTGTATGATTCATGCTTCATGCAGGCTTCGCAACCTTAAGAACAAGGTAATTTCCGAATTAACAATCATTTAATTAGGAAAGGTATTGGTAATTTTTATTTACTGCTCATCAAGACGTTCATATTTCGATATTTTAGGCTACCGAATTCATGGAACGTGCCGGAGTTCGAAAGACTGTAATGGGCCAAATTCTTGATGCTTGTGGAGTGACAGTTAAGGCCTGAAGAGTAAGAGATTTTTATTTAGGCCCTTCTAATCGCATAATATGATAGTAAGAAGAGTTTTTTTGTGATTTTAAGGCCAAGTCTTAGGCTTTTTGGTTTTAGCCGATAATCTCGATTCATCCCCCTTCCATTTGTTGTGTTTTACATAAGAGTTTTTCGGTAAGGCATACCTAGTTTCATTGCATGTTTGATGACGTTATTGATAGAAATATCGTTCACTTATGCTGGGTGTTGTTTTACTTACGGCGAATATCTAGTGTTGAGTAAATTGTTTAATTTAAAACAAACATAAAGCACCGTACTAAAAATTACAAAGCATACAGTATCATACACTGTAAAAACGTATTACAGTAATCCATGTGATTCTAAATTTTATTGCTCGACACACGTAGGTGAAATGTATGCACAATTTCAAGGACAATGTTTTGTAGGTGGAAGTGAACCAACGAGTTGAGGAGGGGATGATCATTTTCCGGTCATTTGTTTGTTTTCTTTGGTGGCTTTTCTGAGGTCTTCTTTTGGCACTCCACACACACGCGGGCCGCTTTTTCCTTCTCTTTTCTCTATATTCTTTCTTCATCTCACTTCATAGTAAGGTGCGTGGAGGGAATGGGACGAGAAGATGAAGAGAAAAAGAAAGCAAAGGGAAAGATGGCATGCATCGCATCACTGTCTTTAAATCTTTCTCTGCCAATTGTTGATTCATTTTGCTTTAATTCATCATCAATTTTGCTTATCTCTATATCTTGATTTGGCTACAAATATAACAAAATAGCTACCGTAATCCCTGTGCAATGTTGCATACCCGAAATCAAAAGAGCTCATAATACTTTTTTGTGGAAGGTGATTAACATTAATAACTTGATTAACAACCCTGATTGTCCAAAAAGTAAATAATTTTAAGCCTTATTTTCAAATCGAAAGTAAACGACATAAAGTGACAAGAAGAGAGTGTAGCACAAGAAGGGAACGAGGAGATTTCCTTGTGCTTGTCGATTAGAGGAGTGTGTAGATTGGGGGAAGGGGTGTTGTTTGTTTTCATCAGTTATTTGTGTAAGGGTGAGACTTCTGCTTTTTTTGCTAGCTACAGGGGAAATTTTTACAGACGAGGGAAATGGATAGGAAAAAGAAAAGGATGGATTTGAGAGAGGGGCAAAAAAGAAGAAGGGTGCCCCTTGGATTTCGAGAGGAGTCCCCCATCCCATCCCTTCCACAACGCGTCGACCCCATCTCCTCTTCTTCTGGTAGGATGGTCGATGTAGGGTGTCTTGAGAAGTTTCACTCGTTCACCATTTTCACATCAAATCTCATTTCGCTTTTGCATGATCATAATCTTTTTAATGTACTGGTAATCGCCAAAAGTATTACGATTTACATTTCTCCACAAGAGTTTCCCGTACTGTATTTTGGTGCCATGAAACTTTGGTTTGGCTTTTAGCTATGTATCTATTGGAGTAAACAGAGCTTTTTATAGATCTACATAGACAGCCTAAACGTAGAAAGTACTTATGGTACAGTGATCTAATCTAATTTCATACTGTCTTAATAATATATCTTTTTATAGATCTTTCAAATCTTTCAAATTTAATCAAAGGGATCGTTTTTGATCTCCTCGATCGTTTTCCCTTGCCTAAAAATCGCTCTCGACGAAAAGTGCATGATTGGGAACACGTCGATTAGTCAATCGGCGGAATTTCTTGAGGGGAAAATTTCTGTGGGCAGAATGGGGAAAAGAATGAAAGGGAGAATGAACAGAGAGAGTGCCAACTGTTTGTCACTCTCGGAAGGGAAAAAGGGGATGTGGGTGATCCCTTTTTGCTTCCCTCCAAAGACCCGTTCACCCCACATAACGAAAACGGTGCTGATGGAGGGGAAGGGTATGTTGTAAACGGTTTCTCTCTCTTTTTGCGTTAAGTGGAGGAGTTGTTGCTTGACATGAAAGTCGAGAAAGAGAGATTCATGCGTGAGTCCTTCTCACTCGTTTTCCCCTCAAAACTAGAGGTGTTTAGGGGCAATCCTTTAGATTTGGCACAGTTCATATCCGTGATTTGTTTCTTTCAGAGTTTTCCCTGTTCTTCCCTGTTCTGGAGGTGTGTCTATTCAGTTCAGCAAGCATTCATTGGCATTTTTAAATCTAAAACTATTGCTGGGCATGACTTTTTTAAACTGAATACTGTTGATCCAATGCCAAACAGTCAACGTAAAACATATTCATCTATTCCAATCTAGCTCTTCGACTGACTCACCCTCTTTCTCTCTTTGACAATCCTTTGATCCGCTCAAATCTCCGATGCCCATTTTTGCTTGAAATACGAAAAATACCGAGTTTCATATTGATTGTCTGTATTTTGAGGCAATTTCTTCTTTTGCCTTGGCTTTTGCCGAAGTCTATTTCGTTTATCAAGGATGTAAGTTTATTCTCGATAAGCTAATAATAGATTCAGCCCTTAATCCGAAAATTTCTTTCCTTACCCCATAAATTGATTTTATTGAAGTTAGAGGTTTTCGGGGGATGGCACTTGCCGGACTTTTTTTTTGCAAAAGAGTAGACTCGAGAAAAAATGAGGGCCCGGTTGTTAGAGGGAAAAAAGGGAGATTGACCTAATAGCGATCAATCTTTTGTGTGTCGGCTCAACCATTCGAGGGGAACTTGTGAAAGGGAAAAGAGAGGAAAGTTCTCGACGAAGCTTTGTTGGTTTTAAATTTTGAGTAATAAAGAAAATGACCTGAAATAATGGTATCCTCCTCGAATTCATTCAACTCAACGATCACTGTCACAGTTCATTTCTTCTTTCGATTTCTCTGCTTTAATCGATCTAAACCCAAATCCCTTTTAAAGTGATAGAAATGTGTAAATGAATAGTCGCAGCACGTTTCTCAACAAGAGTTTATATAATGTTTTCTTTGTTTAATATTCCACATCTGTTCTCATCCCATTCACTCAATGATCAAAGAAAAGGGTTATTTTAACCCTTTTCTTTTTCTTTTAACATCTCTTTTGAACCTTTCGACAAAAATAAACAAGCTTTAAAACAATTTTAATGTTATTAACTTTTGTAAATGTTAGCTCAAACCTCTTAAATAATATTGTATTGCCTAATTTGACTTTTCTTTTGTCAACTTTTGATTACAACGAGTTTAGATTATCTTTTAGGCGTCGGGTGCATTTCTTGGTGCCATTGGAGGGTTGGCATAGAAGAAAAATGGAGACGGTGACGGTTCGAATGTCACGGGGAGATCGGACAACCCCATGGGGATTTGGAGTCACCGAAGCCCCGTCAAGGGATGTTGTCATCGTTAATGTAAGGAAACGAATTCGGATAAACTCAATTCTCTAATCATTCATGATTTGTAAAGTGTTTCTCTTTTGAAAGACTGGGAGATCTGTGAGAGTGTTTGTGTGTCAATCGAGAAATGGAGGTGTTGACAAGGTGTTGAACATGGCTGAAAGATTGTGAGTGGATGAGTGTTGATGGGATGAGAAGATGAAGAACAAGAGAGAGAGGAGAGGTTGTCACGATGGTCAACCACTTTTTCTGGTTTTTCTATAGTCAGAAGGGTCAAAATGAATTTGATTTAACAGTGGAAGGAATAAAGAAAGAATACGGTATTTTTTTCTAATAAGGGGAGCGTCGCGTAGTCGTTTCTGCAGTAAATCATTCTTTTCTCGCAAATCTTTGAACCGATTTTGTTCAGGTTTTTTCTAAAAAAATGGCTGCCTAATTTCTCTAATGAATGAATTTGAAACAACTTTTGAAATGATCCGTTAAGCTATAGCTATTACCCGTAAAACTCATAAAAATGCTAACTAGTAGGATTACTAGTTAGCATTTTTATGAGTTTTTATGAGTTCTCTTCATCTCTTCGAATCTCATTACAACACCTCAAAAAAATTTCCTCTCTTTCTCATTGTTTGCGAGAGAAAGAGAGGGTTTTCATCTTTCTTTCCCCCCTTTTTTTTCGGATCCGATTACCACATTCAGGCAGTTTTTTGTGCGTCTTAAAAACTAAAGTGTTAAGAAGGGATTTTAGAGGGAAAAAAAGCTAATTAGCAAACAGTAAGCGATTGAGAATTGTTTAAAAGCCTTTCCGACCAATTTCGGTTTGATATTGCTTGGTATTCACTTGGCTAACAGATTCTCATTATGTTTACAATCACTCATAAATCAAAGATCATCAATTTTCGCACTTAATCTTTGAGTTGTCTATGTCTGCTCATTAGTAAGTTTAGGTTTTTCTTTTTCTGTAGATGGATAAAGAGAAAAGAGAAAAGGGTAGAGGAAAGGGCAAAAGTGAGGGCGATCCCATCAAGTGTAATAAGAAAAAAGATATCTAAAAAAGTTCTTTAGAAAGCCATAGAAATTAAAAAGAAATGAAATAATGAAGGTCTCATCTAGATAAGTATTTTTAGGTAGTTGGTGGATCGTTGGCCGATCGAGCCGGTCTCAGAAATGGGGATATTCTCGATGAGCTTGAGGGACTGCGGTAAGTCGTGTACAGTTAAGAAGATAAATTGTATTTGATTGCAATTGACAAAATTCTATTCTTTCTTTCAGGTATTGAAAGATAGAATTGAATTTTTTTTCAGAAATCTTGACATCAACGCGACAGATCGTCTCTTGGTGACGAGTCGGGACAAAATCGAGCTCGTCGTGCATAGGTTTGAGGCAATTCTTGTATTTAACAATGGAATCATAAAATTTAAAGGCTTAAGCTGCTTCTAGAGCAAAAAAAAGCTTTAAATCTGATCTTCAAATCTTCAAATCAATTCAAATCTGATCAAAGCTTCAAATCTGATCACTTGAATCTTATCACCATAAAACTGGGTATATTCTCGGGGTGATTCCTTCTCTCGTATGCAAAGTGACCTCTAAACGGAGGGAATGATTAAAAGAAGAAAAGAAAAGAAAGAGAGAAGAGATTTCACCACCATTTTCACCCCATCAACTCACACAAATCATTGCTTTTAATCAGCCATTGCTCTTCGACAATTCATTATTCCTTCACTACTTTCTTTTCCTAGCTATACCAAAACATTTCTTAAACTTTGATCTCATAAAAGCATTCCGAAAATTTCCTTCCGGCCAAACGCTAGTTAATTTTTATGAATTTGACGTCTCCCTTCTGTGGAATCTCAAATCTTTGCATTCTTTCAAAGCAATCAAATTCTTTTTTTCAAAAACTTTACAACTGTAATCGTTTTCTCATCGAAAAACCTGTCTTATCTCAGAAATTTTGCTTTTTTCTCTTCTTGCTAAATATTTTTATTTCTTTTTGAAGTCAGATGCCACGGATTGAGTTTTTTTTGATAAAAAGAGAGAGTTTTTATCAAATGGAGATGCTCAAAGACCAATTTTTTTGTACACAAACTTAACTGAAAAAGCTTGGCATTGTTAGGATTCTAATTTTCTTTACTTGAAAACTTACTGTAGTAAACTTACTCTTAATGTAGTAAGCTTACTCTTACTGTAGTAAACTTACTCTTACTGTAGCCAACTTTTCTCTCTTTCAAGTACCTAATGAGTAAATCATATTCCGAGACAATGAAAAAAAAGACTAACTTTATCAATTTATTTCAAAAGATCATTGTTTTCCTTTTTTCTGAAGTTCTTTATGGCTTAATGTTGGTCTTTTTCAGACAAAGACTAGGCGGATTAGGCATTTTTTTGATATGAACGGTTGGTTAGTGTGAAAGAAAGCTTTACACACAGTTTCTTTTATCTGATTCCTAGCTGATTTGCCTTGAAATTTTAAATTCTTGAATCTTTTCAATTAAGTACTTATTTTTCACCAATCGCAAAGCCTTTTTGTTAACAAAAAAAACAATTTCATTGAAAAACAAAAGTAAACAAGAATTGAAATGATTTGAAATTAATGGATGAAATGTTCGAGCATTCGAGGTTGCTGTTATGACATCGAATTGCACAGGAGACCAACTTTGAGGCAAACACAGCATCCGTTCTTGCATCCGCTTGTGCTCATCAGCTACATTGCTTACCGCATAAAATATTTTAAATAGTTATTAAAAGTTAAAATAACTAGCCTTGAGATCCCGTTAGCAATTCTGTTGAAACAACTGATCGAAATGATGCTTGAGGCACTCTTTGGTGGAGGGGAAGTTGTTGGTGGAGGGGAAGTTATTGGTGGAGGGGAAGTTGTTGGTGGAGGGGAAGTTATTGGTGGAGGGGAAGTTGTTGGTGGAGGGGAAGTTATTGGTGGAGGGGAAGTTGTTGGTGGAGGGGAAGTTATTGGTGGAGGGGAAGTTATTGGTGGAGGGGAAGTTATTCTTAGCTGGCTCAAATTGATTTCTTGTTAGTCTAAAGTTAAACTTTGCAATAAAAACAAATAAAAACTTACCCTCAGTGTCCACTCAGTTTCTTCAGTCGTTTTCGTCTTCCCTTTCTCAGCCGGGAAATCTTTGAGCTTCTTGATCATCTCAATATTCTTCGGTCATTAAAATCGGCGATCGTTTTCTTCTTAATTCAACTCTTCGAAATGTTTGTAGAATTCGACTTCCATCCTAAAAAAGAAAAATGAATATAATTGATGAATGCAGATGAAAAGAAATGAAGAAATGAAAAGAATGGAAAAAGAAATAAAAATGAAGATGGTTACCGTATTTTCTCTAATAGTAGTGAACCCCGGCGAGCCGAGTTGATGACTATTTTACGGTTTCCAAGCTTTTGCAGAAGCTCAACACTCAAATCCCCCACTAGATCTCATCGTCAGCTACATTTTCCGATCCCACATCGATAGGTTCTGATAAGCAGTTGTTGAGATTACGAGGAATTTAGGCGACGCTCTGGGTGCACTACTATTAAAGAAAATACGATAAGCATGAAACGTTAAAAAACACCCGCACAAAAGATTCATTTTATTTAAAGCGATAAATTTGAATTTTATTATTCAAATTAGTTAATTAGCTATGTTTTTAAAGATATTCTTTGTATTTTGAGATATTTTTATTTCTGAAATCTTTCCCCCAATCTCTCGGTTTATTTGATTTGATTGTGTCAACAGATATCCTCAAGCTTCTCAATTCAATCTCAAATCCACTTATTTTTATCACTTTTCATTTTTATAAGCAAATATTATATAATAAAGTTGATCGTACGTATTTGATAGAACTATTTGATCGAATACGTACAAGTACGTAAGTTAAACAAGTTAAAGAAGAAGTTAAAGAAGAAGTTCTTTCTTTTTGGATGTACTTTATCATTTCCCTAGCTTGCATATTCATTTAATTAATTTAGAAATTTAATTCATTCATTTAGATCCAAAATTCATTTAGATCAAAAATAAAACCCATTTTTTGTGTGCCGAGTTGAACTCAGGCAGAATTAATGGGTAATAAAGTGAATGATTCGATGGAAATTCCTTTTGTCTTTTTCTTTTCAAGTTTAGCTCATCAAAAAACACCGACAAATTTATCGGAATAATTAAAGATTCGCAAAATTTTCGACACTTTAAAGTATGAGGTCAAATGATTGAGTTTTTCTAATTGAAAAGCCTTACAGTAAGCTTACAGACCTTACAGTCCTTACAGGCTTTTCTAAAGTTTGATATTATCTTGAATTTTTGTATTTGATCACCGAAATCTTCCTCATAAATTTCTTTGAAATGTTCGAGAAATGTTTTCACTTTCATTTCTTGTTATCATTCCTTTCAAATCTGATCTTTTCCTTTTCCTTAAAAGAGGTCATTTAGTCTCAAAGTGAAATTCGTGAAAGGGAAAGCAGAAAAGGAGAAATGGTGGCCAAAGTGGTGGCAATGGTCGAGAGGAGAAAGGAAAGGAGAGGGAATGAAGGGAATCAAGCAGAGATCTCATCATCACCCACACAGCCACTCCTTTCATCTTCATCTTCATCTTCATCTCATTCTTCGTCTCCAATCGAACACGACGAGAAACTCCGTCGTGATATCTACGAGGTTTACAATCAACTCTGTATGGTTCAAATAACCGCCTCACCGAAGCCATGGTTTGTTTTGATCGATTAAAGGAGTTGGGTAGAGTTGGAAGCTTATGGTAGAGCTGGAAGCTGATTCTTGTTGTACTTTTGTATTGTCAACCTCACCTCGATTCTTCTTTACTTTCCCTTTTTCTTCTTTACCCTGTCTCTTTCTTCTTTACCTTGTCTCTTTTCTTCTTAAGATAAAGAAAACTGAAATCCATGAATCTTTCACGATTTTCACGGATAAACGCCGAATGATTGCAGCTTTTTTTGTCGATTAGTGACAATAAAATTGGGACAGGCTTTACCGGATTTTCGCTTTTCTTTTTGAACGGGAACGGGAACGAACCAGCCGATATTTGACTCCTTTTCCTTTTCTTTATTCATTACATTCTGACCAAATAACGAATCTTGCTTCATTTCTTGCTCTTGTCCAATATGGACACATTTCCCCAATCAACTAACGCAGAAATGCCGATCTTTCCCCCGACTTTTCGAGGCTCGCGAAAGGAAATCCCCGATTTATTGATACCAAATGATTCAAAAATCCCTGTTCCACAAGAGGTTTACGAATTTTTGAGCAAACATGGTTTTAAACATTCCGAAGAGTTGCCTAGTCCCTTCGTTTTTTCGAATAAATCAGTGACAACGAGTCATGGAGTGACGGAAAATGGAGAGCGATTCACTCAACAACATTACACAGTCAATACACATGAATGGTATGCACCGACGTTTGGAGGGAAACAAGAAAAAGGAAAGGAAAAAGAAAGGAAAGAAGAAGGGAATCGAGAAGAGGGCAGAGGTGGACGGTTGCTCGATAAAGTGAGTCAAGAATTGGAGGAGATCAGGCTAAAGAGGGAAATCGATGTGGATAAGAAGGAGAGAAATGAAGAGTCGAAGAAGAAATCGGATTTGAATGACACGAAGGGATTCAATCATTTCAAATCCTTTCAAAAGTTGAATGAACCGACAGATCAAGAAATTGAGCTGAAGTCAAGTCTTGACAAGAATCTGCAAGCAAATCTGGTGAAAAGTTATGGGAATTCAAGCCATAATCAATCGAAAATTGGGGAATTATTCAAGAATTTGAAAAAAGAGGAAGAAAATGTTCAGAATAAAGATATTCATTCAACGGTATTTGAAAAGGCAAAGATATTCAGTGAGAAAAGAGAAGAGTAAGTTTAGATTTCGTTTAGATTTGGTTTAGGTTTGGTTTAGATTTGGTTTAGATTTGGTTTAAGATTTCCAAAAAAAATTTCAATATTAGGATTGGGTATTTGGAATTTTAGAAATAAACTAGGAACTAGGAAGCACTTTTTAAAAGTGATTTTTCAGGAATGGCAGCGGTGGAGGCGCGTCGAGAGTTTGGAGGCCGGAGATCACTCAAAACACCGAGATGCACAAATTCCAGGCAAGTTTCCAAAGGGAGATTTCTATTTAGATATGTAGATTTGTTAGATCTATCGATTTAATATGAAATTCCTTTCAAATACTCATATTTTTCAGGATTCCACTCATCAAATGCCCTACAAAGTCTCCCTTGAGCACAACAATTCGGTGAGTGACTAAAGGAAGGCTTGCATTGCATTTATATTACTATCTTGAGCTATTTTTATTTATCTTTTAGCTAGTATTAGCCTAATACTGAGTAAATTTATATCTAAAATGTACTCTAAACCTTTGAATACCAAGATTTCAGTCCATCCCACCAAAGGGTTTCAACAACGCGGCGATGCCCTTCAATACCGATCCACGAGTGAAACATTTACAGTATAACAGGTAGATTAGATGACATTTAGGGAAATACCTCAGGAATATGGTGTTACCTAATTGGCATCCAATTTCATTCTTGATCTATTTCAGTCCAATGAATCTCTACTCGAACACGGCAGCGGCTGAACAATACGCACAACAAACACAGGGAATCGTTCAAAATGAGTCCGTTTTTGAAGAAGAGATTAAGATTTTTATTAACTAATTAATTAAAAAGATATTCTTCTAATCAATGTTATTTCTTTTCCTTTTCCCTTTCAACTTTCCCTTCATTTTTCTGACCTAGATTTGGAAGGAAAAGGGAAAATCTCCTTATTGGCTTTTGAATCAGAAATGAATAACTGAAGAATAAAAGATAAAAGAAAAGAATAAGATAAGATCTTTTATAAGATAAAAGAAAAGAAATTGATTGAATATTTATTGAAGATAAGATAAAAAGGGAATAGATTGAAGATTTCTAATAAAATATGATTTCAATTGCAGTTCATCTCTCGGTCGAGCTCGATCCGATCAACCATCCTATATGAGATCAGAAACATTGAAAGTACTCAAAGAACATGAACAAAATGGTAAATTTAAAGCATAAAAAGAATCCTTTATCTTTGATACATGCATTAAATGAATTTCCAGGTCACTCATCCCATCCAAACCCTCAAGGTCTCCCCGTCTGCTATGTGTGCACCAAACCGATCTTGTAAGTCATTTAACAAAACCATTTATTTGATCCCCATAATATTGACACTTGAAATGTGGAAGTTAAAATAATTCTTGTAAAATCTTTCATTCCTGAATCCAGTCGGCTTGAAAATCCCCGCGTTTTCCGAGAAGAATCGCTCCACCAGTTCGAGGGAAACGAACGGGACGAGGGGCGAGGAAATCCTGGAGTTCAAAGCCATTTTTGCTATGCTTTACTATGCTTTACTATGCTTTTTACTAGCCTTACAATACTTTTCATACTATATTTCTCTATATTTCTCTATATTTCTACAGTATCTTTAATTCTACCGGGAATGATCGTTGTTGTCTTAAAAGGGGCTCATCAGCGGTTTGAGTGAGCGAGGAGGGACTCCAGTAAGGGCGATTGAAGAGGGAAACTGACTGAAAATGGAATCAACTTCGATATTTTGAAATTCTTAACGTTAGAAGTATCTGATTATACAAGAGATACTTATTTTTAAATGTAAATGAATCAAAACAAACCTCGATGAAGGCAATAACGGCAAAAGCGAGAATAACAGCTCTCATTTTTTTCAAACACCTGAAACAATTGCATTTAAAATAAGAATAAGACAAAAAAGAGAAAAAAGAGAAAAGTATTGAGTATTAGAAGAAGAAATTACAGGGGATTAATGGCTCAAGCCGCCGGTCATCAGCTACACGGAGATTGTCTGGCTTGTGCTACTTGTGGCACTTCATTGAAGGTAAAGAATATTTTCACTTCAGTTACTTGTAAGTAATATTTCGATATCCAAATTTATAGAACATTGGACATCACTATATCGATGGGAAATTCTACTGTGATATTCACCAACGATTGAAGAGAGCCACAAGCACTGGACCTGCTGATCCAAATCTCATGGCGTGAGTTCAAGAGTTCAAAAGAAATTCAAAGAAGTGTTTTGTAAAAGAAATGATTGGATTGAAAAGGCTAAGGCAAATTTCAATCATATATGGAGTGAGTAAACATTGCCTCAAATTCATAAAAGCCCTTAAAATCGGGGAAATCCAATTGTCTTTTGGTGGGTAACTCGAGGGAAAACATTTGGGAAATTCCCACAAATGAAAGCGAATATGGTGGGTGAATTCGATGATTGGGGGAAATGGGGAAAAGAATAAAAGAATTCAATTGAAGAATAAGGATTGAATTGCTGGCGAGGGAGAATTTCGTGATGACTTGATCGGAGCACACAAAAAGGTAATAGGAGTGGTAAAGAAATTCGACGTGAGTAATTTTGGAGCTGAATAGGATCATCGTTTAGCATCACACACTCTGAAATGAGAAGTTCTAACCAGGGAACCCCTTGAAGTTACATTTCAGGAGCAATCTGATTCCCAAAAACCCAAAAAATGGCTGTTGGGACAATTATTCAAAAGTCGGAGCCTTTTTACATCAAACTAATGTTATTTAAGAGATTACTAATCAAAGAAGTCATTTTCGAGTGTAAAAAAAACCAAAAGTCTGATCGCGAGTCGATCCGAACCAAGGGGGAAAAGGTCTGAACGAGCAAGCGGTGCCCTAGCGCATTATCCATTGGGCTACCGAGGCACACCGCTAGAGCCGCGCTAACACCTTAAGTAGGCTAGCATGCTGTTTAGCGAAATTGGCTGAAACTTTGAAGGCTTATACCTCAAAAAGGGCTTATGATAAGTAGGATTCGAAAGTTTTGGAATACCCTTAACCAGGGGGTGTTTGCACCTCGGAATCAGATCGCTCCTCAAATGTAACTTCAAAAAAACGAGACATTTTCAATGATCTTTTTGGCCAAAATTAGAGAGAATCCTCCTTGGATCGCCACTTGAAAAAACACGTAGTTAGATGGGTGAATATTTCATTGAAATATCTTTGAGAAGTCATGCAATCTGTGAAATGGAAAGGAAAGGAATGAGAAGAGATCCCCACGCATTTTGATCCAATGGAATGAGTGAATGAAACTAAATATTTTAAGGAGACTAAATTAGAAAATGGTTGAAAAAGGGAACGGGAGAACTGTTTGGAAGTAAAAAAATGGAATGGAACATCTTATTTCAGCCGAATCCCGCCAACAGCCGCCCAGCCGACACGTCCAAGTGAACCACCAAGGGGAGCCTATCAGCCTGATGTAATTTCTTTGGTTTTATAAAATAAAGTTTATAAGATTAGTTATCTAAAAGATTAGTCTAGTTCTTGTTTTCTAAAGATTTATGAATTCCTTTTGTTTTCTAGGGAATCAACCGTCGCCCACTTTCCGTTTCTCCAAACCCGGGCCAATGGTCATCCACTCAACAATCACTCAATGTCTCTGTCAGCAATCCGAGAACACAAGGAGTCATTAGGTAATGAAAGAATTGCTGTAAAATGGTTGTAAAATTGCTGTAAAATTGTAGAATTTTGTATTGTAGAAGAAGAAATCTGGTGATTGAACGAGAGCATTTCTCTCAAAGACTACCCTGTCACCAAAATGGGCACTTTCGTTGAAGAGACCGTTGAAGAGACATTATTTATGCATTTGTTTTTCTCGCATTCCTTTGACGAAAAACATAAGGGAAAACTGTTTATTATGTTGCCAAGAAGTATAAGGAAGGAATAGAGGAATCGTTTTAGAGATAAAAATAGATCGATATTTTTAGCCCCGCCAATCGCGGTGTGCCCAGCTCGCAGATGTATGGAAATGACCTGAACAGAGGAGGAAGCCGTGCACCTCAAGGTGATTCAAAATCGCGTCTTTAACCGACCGCAACCGCCTTCGCTATGGCGCAGTTGGGAGCGCGCGTTTCTACAGCTCACATGATCCGGGTTCGACACCCCGTGGGGCCACTTGGCCACTTTTTGGCTTAAAAACGGCTGAGAAAATGAACAGATACTGGTCTTCTATATATATGTCGTAGCCGATTATGAATGAGTGGGTCCCGGACGCGTCCAACCATCAAGTATTTGGTATCATTCAACGCAGAATCATTAATAATTATGTTAAATTTTTTAAATTAGAGAGATTGGATAAAAAGAAAAAAAAATTATGGGGCTTCAAAGTTTTCTCTTGAACAAACAGTTTTTTTTGCTCTAATTTTTTTTCTTTTTATCAAATCTTGCTAATTTAAAAAATTTAACATAATTATCAATGATTCTGCGTTGAATGATACTAAATACTTGATGGTTGGACGCTCCTAGACCCACTCATTCATAATCGGCTACGGGGGGTCCCGCCGATTTTGAATGAAACGTTGTAGCGCCGGCAATTTTAAACCTAAACTCACAAAATTGATATCAATCGACGCAGAATTTAATTCGCTACGAGATGATATAATATTGTCCTCATACATTAAAGGGTTGCTCTACTAGAAAGATTTACCAAAAAATTTCATTCATAATCGGCTACGACATATAGTTCCTGATCAATGGGCTATATAAACATAAACAAGCTTCCTACAACGATCTGTTTTCATTTGTAGACTACCGTCCATCACCAACTCTGGCTCCTCCATCAGGCGCCCCTCCACCACCTCCATCATCACAACCACCAATTGGTTCGTTTAATGTGTATTTGTTTCCAATAAACATTCTTTTAAGGAAACTCTTTCGATGTTAACTGTTGTCCTTGTCCTTGTCTCAATGTCTTTGTCCATTCAGATCCCTCGATGATCCACGATGTTCACCTGCGTGTCCCCTCCTCCCTCCGTGCCGCTGTTTCCCCTCGTCGTCGTGCTCGTCTTCCTCGTGAATGGCCTCCATCAAAAGGACAAGTGAAAACAACTCCATTTTGGAATACAGAACTTCATCAACCTGCTTGTATCCAAGTTCCATCTAAACCACACACTGTTTCACTGCATGATGCCGTTTTTGAGATGGATACAGACCCAGAAGAAAGAAAAGAATCCCCAAGGAGGATGACTATTTTGGAGAGAAGTCCATCAGGGACGACTTTCAAAAGTTCTCCGAAAATCATTAATCGTCCATCTTCTGTTCAATTCGAGCCAATATCTAGTCAACCAGAATTGTTGAAAGCAGTGCAAGTGCAAGTGAAAGAAGTGGCTAAATTGGACGTTCCTCCACTTTCGACAAGCACTCCACGAATCGAGCCAGAGCCAGCAAAGGCAATGATCAAAACCGATGCGATCACATCAGATCAAGTAGAACAGATTAGCGAATCGAGCGACCAATCGAGTATCAGTGAAACTCAAAATCAGAATCAATCATCGGATTCCAATCAATTAAACACATCGCAATGCACTCAAACAACACAAACAAGTCCGGGTTTAGTTGAAGATGGAGTCAAAGAGAATAAAATGGAGAATAAAGCAAAGAAATTACAGAAGAAACCAGGAAGGAAAGATCCCCGAAGACTCACCGCAATCTACACACCAAATCTAGAAGAGACACCGATTGAGATTGAAGTGAATGATGAAGAAAAGGTTGTGATGAGACCGGAGAAGACACAGACTGTCACTGTGGAGTTGGATGCGAGAAGAGCTAGCACTGTGCATGTTCCTGAAATCTCAAATCTTCCACCAATCCAGGATACAATCTCTAGATTTGGCTCCATACCAAAAATCACTTCACCGAGACCATTTGTACCTTTGAAAGAATCTGTGTACTCACCAGTGAAAAAGCTAGCCGAATCTCCGGTAGAGCCGATTAGAAAAGTTTCCGAATCCCCAATTCTTGATCAATACAATAAACCTTCTTCATCTAATCCAAGTCCAATCAAAATTGGTCCTCTCTTGAAATCATTACCGAGAGATCAATTGCCTGAAGGAATCATTGGAATCAATGTCATCTCTAAGCCATTTAAAGCTCCCGATATGATTGAATTTCCTTCACATCGTAAGAGATATTCATACAATGTTGCAGAAGAACAAAAAGTGAATCGACCAGCAGAATTAGCATCATTACCACCATTGATGAAAGGAAAACAAGTTGTTACTCCACAAGGCTCGCCATTCTCGACACTCACTCGACAAAAAGATCCACGCTCTATTGAAGAGAGAAACCAACAACTTTTGCAAAGAACTCCATCACCGAAAGGGACATTGACAAGAAGGACACCATCTCCTGTACTGAATATCTCAATTCAACCATTACCTACGAGAAATGAAGAAGATCATTCACTGAAAAGTGTTTCAACTCTTAGAAAAGCTTATGAACAACAACCGACACAAATCAGACAATCACCTGTAATGGGAATTCAAAGTTTGGGAAAAAGAACCCCATCTCCTGGCTTGAAAAAAGTTATAGAAAAAAAGAATTTCATTCGAGAAGATAGTAGAACGAGTCAGAATGAATTTGAGGGAAATCAATGGGCAAAAGTCTCGGAAGTCGTTGATGAGAGTGATATAATGACAGATACATCGAGGAGATCCGATGAATCGACAAATGCAGCTGCTTCTGAATTGTCTGATGTTGCGGAAGCAGTCAAATATCAACCACTCAATCAATATGATGTTGATGAAAGTGAGTTAGTGAAAATTCGTAAATCTCAGAAATCAAATCAAGAAGATACTGATGTGACAGATATTGATTCTGATGAAGAAAAGGAGAGATGGATGAGAGAAGAGTTGGAGTTGGCAAGGAAAGAAGAGCTCGTCAATCAAATGATTCATTGGGAAAAACCCATTGTTTATCGAAGAGAATCACCAATTGCGATAAGAGGTGAACAGAATCTCAATCTAACTCCAAATCAACGACAAACTTTTGCATTAAAGACAAGACTTGTCGAATCTATAGATGAAAATGCGAATTGGGATGATCCGAGTGAAAGAGATACACTCTCAATGGTGTCTGAGTCGGATGAATGGAGAAAGAAAGCTATGGAATTGTTGGATGATGAGACACAATTCGATAGAGATATGCAATTAGTCGCTAAATTGCATCAACAATTAGAGGAGTGTCGAGGAATGGATGAAGGAGATCGACAAAAAGCCATTTATTGCATGAAAAGACATAAAAAGACATTGGCTTCTGATCAGAGATTGGAGAAGTTGTTGGATTCAGCTATTCATTTTGTCGCTCATTTAGAAGAACCGCAGAGATTACAATGGACGAAAGATATGGCTGGTGTAGAGAATTATGAAGAACCGATAAAAAGAGAACAACGAATGAGTAGACAAGGATCACGAGAGAAATCCGGACCTGGAAGTACACCATATCCACCGGAAAGGAAAAATTTTGGACAAGTCCAAGTACATCCGATGAATCCAGTCATTTTACAAGAAGAAAAGGAGATTTTGGATGAATTGGGAAGATTCGATGTGAGGAATCGAGAAAACGAGGGACAAGAAAGCATTGTGAAATCAGAATCTCTAAAAAGAGGACCGATCATTCCAGAGATTGATTACCCGATGGATTCACCGATTTTTGCTCGAAAGAACTATGAAACGTTGCCGATTCGAACTGAACAGTGAGTTTCGGTTAATGGGTAATGGAAATGCAGAACTGTAGCTGGGTTTCTTTAGAGTTCATGCAGGGAAATGTTTAGGTTACCGTAGTACTGTAGATTTATGTGTTTAGCTGTTAGTACTGTACTAAAGTACTGTAGATTTATGTGACGTTTAGCTGTTATCTTTCTGTTTAGTTGTTATCTGTTATCTAAATGTCTTCTTTTACGTTGTCCCGTTCAGATTGTCGAATGTCCTCGAAGAATTGAATAACATTATGAAACCAAGAAGCTCGGATTTCATTTCGAGAAAGTTGAAATCTGTTCAACAAAAAGAAACACAGGAAAAAGGTTGTTGTCTGGTGATTGTTTAGTGATTGTTTTGTAGATGAAGATCTCTTTAAAGAACAAATTCTTTCAGTGAACTCCTACGCGTCAAATCGTCAAAACCAACAACAACAACAACAAACGACTCGTACCACCGACTCGCATACTCTTCTGAATCAACCCGCTCAAGGAGGGAAAGTCCCGTTCTGTGAGGCTTGTAAGCAACAGATTCGGTTAGTTTATTGATTATCAAAAACAGTAATCATTTAAAAAACTAATGAAATGAAAAAACTAATGAACTAATGAAACAAACCAGTTCAAACAAACAAATTGGTGATTTTAAAGTACGAAAAGAAACGAAAAGACTTTCTCAATGAAAAGACAAATATTCGGAAACTTTAGTGGAGCTTTTGTATTGGCTCAAGGTCTTTCTTGGTGTCCGGAACATTTCATCTGTGCAAATGCTTCGTGCGGTCGACGACTCCTCGAATGTGGATTTGTTGAGGAGAATGGGCAAAAATTCTGTGAAGTAAAAAGAGTGTCTAGATGTTTTCGAAAAAAAACTCATTTTCAGAACTGTTTCGAGAATAACATCGCTCCAAGATGCGCCAAATGCGCTCGACCAATCGTTTCGGTGAGTTTACTAATATTTCTAACAGTATAACCTTTAATATTTAGGATTGTCTGAATGCTTTGCAAAAGAAATGGCATCCTCAATGTTTCACTTGTGCTCATTGCTCGAAACCTTTTGGAAATTCGGCTTTCTATTTAGAGCAAGGACTTCCATATTGTGAAAATGGTAATGAAATGGAAATGAAATTGAAATTGACTAATCTAAATCTCTTCAGATTGGAATCGTTTGTTTACGACGAAATGTTATCAATGCACTTATCCAATTGAGGCAGGAGATCGATGGGTGGAAGCACTTGGACATGCTTATCACTCTAATTGCTTCAATTGCACAGTAAGGGGGAAAAGTTTTGCTTAAAAGAGAATTGCTTAAAAGAAAATAGCTTAAAAGAAAACTAGAAACTAGAGTTGCTCAATTTGATTCAATTCCCATTCAAATTTCAGTCATTATATAATATGCTTTATTCAGTTGAATAGCGACAAAACAAAATGACAATAATTACCCAGGACACAACTCAAAACACACCCAAAAAATAAATAGATACCTCGAGAAAGAATCACAGAGCAGTCAAATCAATTGCAGAAATTGCGGCTTTAAATCTAGCCAAGGTGGGAATATCACGAACATGAGGGGGTAAAAGGTTCCAGAATTTAATAAAAAGAAACTGTGGAGGCTTTTAGAGGAAACGGAGGGTTGGCGTATGAGAAAAGGCCCCGTAGAGGCCCCGTAGAGAGCCGAATTCAAAGAGGCCAAAAAAGAGGGGGTCGGGATGAATGCCTTTAACAATCTTAAAGCATTCCACTAAATCATTCTCAAATCATTCCCCATTTCAGCGTTGCAATGTCAACCTCGAGGGTGAGAGTTTCTATGCGAAAAATGGAGAACCATTCTGTAAACTCCATGCATAAACGAAAAGAGAAAACAAAACAAATCAAATCAAAGATTTATCGATTTATCGAATTTTATTTTATTCGCCTCAATTTGCCATTTCTTTGCTCAAAAAAAATAAAATGATTTCTTTAGAGAAAATCGATTTATGGCATAATTTCTTCTTTTCGGTCACATTTCTCTCCTCAATTTATAAGCTTCGGTCTTTTTTTTCGGAAAGTTTTGGCTCACAAGAGAAAGTTTTCAACTTTGATTAAGCTATTATAATGTTTGAGAATTTATCTTAATAAATCTGAAGGAAAACATTTGAAATTTCATACTGACACACGACAATGCAAGACTAAGCTGAAGGCAAGACTAAGCTGAAGGCAAGACTAAGCTGAAGGCAAGACTAAGCTGAAGGCAAGACTAAGCTGAAGGCAAGACTAAGCTGAAGGCAAGACTAAGCTGAAGGCAAGACTAAGCTGAAGGCAAGACTAAGCTGAAGGCAAGACTAAGCTGAAGGCAAGACTAAACTGAAGCTAACAGTTTCATGTAGTTTGACAAGACTTGGTCATTTCTTTATTCAAACCTTTACAATCAAGTACATTCAATTCATAAATTTGCATAATATTACAAATCATGGCAAAGCTTTAACCGTTCCCATTTCCATTGCCATTGTTTCCGTTATTTCCGTTATTGCCATTGTCGATAGTGCAACTGAAATTGGCGTTTGATCTGATTGATAATTAATATTATTTTTAATCTTTTGGCATTTATCTAAAGCTTTGGCTTATTGCTCAAAGTTTAAAGAAAAAGAAGGATACCTTATTTATTCTAATCGAAGAGTAGTCTTTAATAGTCTTTAATAGAACAACTTTTGAGAAGGGTTCAAAAATAGAAGAACAGTCTCTAATAGAATTTGATTTTTAATGCTTTATTTATTTCCCAAATTTTTAAAATGCACTATTTTGCTACTGTACTCCGCTTCGCTTTCTCAGCTTTATTTTGCTATAAAATCTTTGCTTTACATTGCGCGACCTTAATACCTTTCAAAAGTTTACTGATTTAGAATAGCTTTCACCAGAGCTCGGTTGCCAAGTTGCTTAAATCAATAATGGATTCGGCTGTGATCTCTGGGGGATACACAAAGTTCATTCAAATACCAGATGTAGTTTGGAATCATCCTTTTAAATCGAAAATCCGAAGCTACTACTGGATGTTTCACGGAAATCAGAAAGGAGGGAATAAGGAAGATAAAGATAAAGAGTAAATAAAGATCAGAAAGGCTTCATTGTTAGCTCATGTTAATTAAATAATTAATCAGAAAAATCTCTTTTTGAAAGTTGTTTTGAAAGTTGTCAGCTTTATAAGCTTCATCGATCTTTGAAGCTTTGAAAAATAGAAGAACATGCTCTTCTATTAGAAAAAATACAGTATTTGGTAGCTTCAGATTTTCGATTTAAAAGCATGATTCCAAACTAATGAATGGTGCTTGAATGAAATTTGTGTATCCCCCAAAGATCACAGCCGAATCCATTACAGATTACAGACTTCTAGGGCTCTAGAAATCACTCACAATCCACACGTCCTCGAGCATCTCGTTCTCATCAATGATGTGTAGAAGCTGTTGTTGCATAGATTCACCTAAATGTAGACAAAGTTGTAAGCCTTTTCAAGCAAAATCCTGTTTAAGCAAAATCCTATTTAAGCAAAAGAACCCGCCTTACAATTACAATCCCTGGCCGTATCAACGCATGTCGAATTCGTCGTATTATTCTGTGCATCAATTCTAGCAAAGAATACCACAAAAAGCACAAGATACAGTAAATTCTTCATTGACAAAATGTATTGAATTGTAAATGTTTTCAAAGAGTTCAACTTAAATACATAAATGAATTCTCATCAAAGTCTTCCATTTCTGTTTATCCAGCCACCTCATCAGATCAAAATTTCACGTGTCGATTTAGAATTTGCAAAATTTGCACTCAATTCTTGCAGATGACTGCTCGATGTGGGATTTTTGAGTGAATTTTGGTGTTTTTTGCATGGATTTTATGAAAAACATTAGTTAATTAGCTTTTTTAGTGAAATAAGCTCAGTTTTTATATTACTAACAAAGAATTTTCTATGTAAAAATAGAAAAATAGAAAATAAATGAGGAGAAGACTCATCAATTACAATTTGTGCTATTTAATCAACAAGAATACCCAGCTGACAATCTAAACGCGATCTCAACAGGTGGAAAGCGTAAAAAAGAAAAGTAAACGTGATACAGAAAGAATAGAAATCTAAAGAATATCCGTATCCCGATAGCTAAAATGATTTCCCTTTGGGGTCAAAATATCACTTTCGAGTTCAGCACTCAGCTTCAAATGTTCTATTTCTCGAATGCATTCACAATGCCGATCAGTGGATTCGCTGGCTGGCTGATTCTAAAGAAAAGTCCCACCGAAATGAAAGAATATCGCTACTTTTTACTTAATATTTGGGTGAGTTCTGTTCCCATTACCCAGTATCGATTCCCAAAAATCGATTCCCAAACATTTCCAGGTGTGGACAACTTTGTCCGATTTTGTTCTCACAATAATCCTCCAAATTCAATTATTTTTCCCGTTATTTGGTGGTGCTTCCTGTTCAAATATTGTCAATTGGTTAATGCCTACATTACCCGATAATGGATATTCTGCATGGGTTAGAGGATTCGGAATTCTTTCAAAGGAAACAATCCTTTCAAAGCTTCAGGTTCTCACGATTTGGGTTTTAGTGAATAATTCGATATCTTTATTGAATGGTTTTCTGTATCGATTGTGGGTGCTCGATACGGATAGTTGGCTCACAAGAAAACCAAGGTTTCATTTGAAATTTTAGAATAAAATCAAGTAAACAAAGAAAAAAGAAAAGACGAGTTTAATAAAAACCTTTTTAATAGACGAATTTTGTATGTTTGTGCTGGGATTCACGTGATCAAATCATCGATTGAAACAGGGGAATGTATTATGGCATACACGCCGAGAGATCAAATGGAAATATTCATTTTAAAGGTAAGAGAAATACTGTAAAATATTTTATTAGACCGGTACTCGAAAGGAGTATCGAAAAATAGAGCATTCAAAGTCGAATAGATGAAAAAGTAGATCAAAATAGATGAAAAAGTTAGCATTATCTTTATTTCAAAACTTTCAATTGAACAACTGAATATCTTTTGTTTTGTTTGCCTGACTTTCTTTGATTCTGCTTTTTTTATTTTTTTTTGCTGATAACTTAATGTGTTTCTTTCTTTTTAAACTTTAAATTAATAATCTTTTTGTTCTTTCTTTTTGATTTTATGTTAGTAATATTTTCTTTTTATGTGATGGAGACGTCAACCGAAGAGACGATCAACAAGCAATCACTCGAACGATCGTTGGATCAAATGGATGCTTTTACTGCTTTTTGTGATTATCGGGATTATGAACAAAGCAGAACAAGGATTAAACAAGAGCTTCGATGACGATGGAAGTGAAGATGGATGAGATAAGGAAGCGAGAGAAATGTTAAGAAAGAGACCAAACGAGGAAAGGATGCAAATAAAGCCGAGGATTTGACGAGTGCAAGAGTAGCAAAGCGGTGAGTCTTTGGCGTGAAATTCAAGCTCGAAGTGATCAAATACGCCAAACAGAAATTAAACCCGGAGCTCACTAAAGGATCACTAAAGGAGGAAACCTTAAACCATCATCAAACTATACTTGGAATGGATCGTCGAGACGTGGGAGAAGCTTTCGGAAGCGATGCAGATTCATTCAAACAATGCGGACTCAAAAACAATCGATAGATCAGAAGACCAGCTCGTTCATTTTTACAAAACGAGTGGACCTATCCCGACCAGATATCAAAAGCTGAAGGATGCTTGAATAGAAGTTTTGTCGCCTAAACCCCAGTTGCCTGGTTTAGTTACCCAAGTTTAGCGTTTTTTCTGTTTATCAATTCGCCACAAGGTGATAGTCAATTCATAGTTTAGAATTTCCCGGATCATTCCTCCGTTTTATCGATCCCGAATTTCCTCTTAATGGAACCGAGTCTCAACCATTGGAATGCCTATATGTTTATCACGTTCACTTTCGGAAATTGCTGCATTTTCACTATCGTCACTTACGTCATTATACGCATTTTTCAAATTCTGAAGGTACCCTCGGGGGAAAGTTGTTTTGCTTTTGGCAAAAGTACGAATAGCAGGTGAAATGAGGGAAATCTTTTGAAAAGGGACACTAAAAATTGTTTGAAAGAAGGCTGAAAGTACCTGGGAGAAGTATTCACGATAGGAGACTTTGCAAATTGTTAACTTTTCCCAGAAGTGTAGCTAGAAATCAGATTGCAAATCATCCAGACATTCCTGATATCTTGTTTCCAATCAATTCCATTTAAAAGAAATGTTAAACTCGCTTTTGGAGTGTGGAAAACTCCAAAAGCGAGTTTAATATTTCTCAACAATATCTAATGTCACAAATTGCTAACGAATTGTCAGCGATAAATGTCAAAAAAGAACATTAAAACGTGATTTTTAGGGTAGCCGTCATATAATGAGCGATCGAACATATCAGCAACATCGAATGCTCACAATTTCGCTAATTTGGCAGGTTTGTAATGAAAAGAAACCTAGTTTAATTGGTGAATTTGTTATTTTTCAAACGAAAGTACGAAAAAGAACGAAAAACCTATTTGTTGAACTTTAAATATGTTTCCATTTTAGGCGGTTCTCCCATTGCTTGTCTTTTATTTCCCCTCAACATTGGGTATGGGCTATCTGCTGTTCAATCGAAGCAATTCCCCGATTGTGCCAAGTTTGGATTCCCTTTTGATTTGCTAAAATTCTTTTAGTCATTTCAAATACGTTCTTGGTCTTAATGTGTCTTCACACAAATCTCAATCTGATCTCGATGATTTATTTCATAAAACCCTATCGGATTGCTGTGCTGAAAATTGTGGCGAAAATTCGAAAGAAGGAGTTCGTTTCAAAGGCTGACGAAAGGGGATTGTTGAATTTTCCAGATATTCGGATGGGTCAACAGTGATTTTCTCATCTCATCACTCGAATCATCAAACAATTCCCAGTCATTCAAATGTCTCAAATTCAAATTCAAATCATCCAGTCCTTGTCTTAATATAGTTTTTGTTTCCACGTTTTTTTCAAGTTTCCCCACACAAAACACTTTTACCCAATCAATTCTTGAAAACATTCTATTTTTTTTTTTGGGAAAACCAGCAGCTGAAATTCTGAGAGCTACAGCTTACGTTGAATCAACTTAAAGATTTTCTATAAATTTTTGCATGATCTCAATCTGGGGCCGTAACATCACGTATGAGATTTATTTCCCGTTGAGAGTGTTCTATGTGGCAAATATCTTCACAATACCGATCACCATCTTTGCCGGATATTTGATTTGGACAAAAACACCGCCTGAAATGAGAAATTATAAGTGGATCTTGTTGCATATTTGGGTAAGTTTTTGATGGTACTCGCTGGGAAGCCTAATAGCTAGAAGGGTTGAATCAACTCTATAGCTAAAGCAACGATAGAACACTTGTTAGGTTTTAACTTAAAAATTAACATAAAAGCAAAAAAAGGAGTGACAGTGAAGAAGATGGAGCCAGGGTCAAGGAAAACTGTCTAGTCGTGGGACGTGCGCCTCTTTTCCCCTAGGCCATCCGGTGGCCTATGGAATGAAATGAAGTCGACCCTATACCGGTTGCCCAAACGCGTTTTCCTTGGAAATTTCCTATTGTTTCAGTAAAATTGAAAAACACGCGTCTCTTAAAATTTTGAGAGGGGTTTTTTAGTTTTTTCTTTTCCCAACTCGATGCTCAATTGAAAAAGTTTTCTAGTTAAAGTTAGACCAACTCTAGCTACAACTACAGCTACAATAAAAAGAAACAAGAAAAAAGACAAAACACCAACTAGCTTTTCAAGGGTTGGACAACAGGAGCCGATATAATGCTGACTTTGGCTCTGGAACTTCAATTATTCTTTCCTTTATTTGGTGGCACGACTTCTTCAGCTCTTCTCACTTGGTTGATGCCTCCACTACCCGATTGTGGATATTTTGCATGGGTAAGTAGAGCTCTGCACTCATTTCTACAATTTCTTATGCTCAAATTTTCGATGATGCTAATGTTCATCCTCGTCAACACTTCACTTTCTCTTCTTGACGCATTTTTGTATCGTTTGATCGTTCTTGATTCAGTTGGTGTGTTGGATCGACGAAAAAAGTAAGTCATGAGTTGATTTTTGAATTAAAAAAGGGCTTACTTTTGCTTAAATCTGTTAACAAACAATAGCTAAATCATCAGATTTCTGACCGCAATCGGAATTGTGATGCATTTCGGGAACTCGATTCTTATTATGACTTTCGCCTTTCTTGCCTATTCACCTAGAACCAAAATGGAAGCTTTTATACGAGAGGTATTCTATTTTCACAGTTTTTCACAGTTTTATACTCTATCCTTACATCTTTCTAATTCAATTTCCAATTACAGAGATTTCCCGAGTTTTCCGATATAATTACATTATCGAATTATGTTATTTTGGAGCCAGAACTCAATCCCTATAATGCACATGTATTTTGGAGTGCTTCATCTGGGACATTTGTTGTTTTTGCGATTGTTGCCTGGGTAATTCATCGGATTTTCCAAGTTTTGGCGGTGAGATCAAAGAAATCAAAGAAGTTTTTCGAGAGAAATCGTTTCAGCGTCATAAAAGTGCGATGAGTGAGAAAACGTATGAAATGCACAAAATGCTCGTTCGATCGTTGATCATTCAGGTAAGGTTTTGAAGTATTCTCAACGAATTATCAGCGACTCTCACTGCAATACCGCTAAGCCAAAATATTCAGGCTAAGTACTATGGTTTTTATGGGTTATACCTCCGCAATAGTTATTTGTAGCCAAAAAACGGGGAAATGGCTTAAGCTCAGCACAAATTAGAGATTTTGCTTGGAGATACAGCAAACGAAACCCGTCAATCGCTTCCCCAACCCCGAAAACCTTTTGGTAAAAACTTTTGGAGTCATATCTGATCTGAGCAATGTTTACAGAACAAAAGAGATTCCTTTGTAAAGAGAGCGCGAGGTGAGAGAACAAAAGATTCCGTTGTGCCGTGAGGCAATCGCTCGCCGTCTGGCGCAGGACTTTTAGACTCATTCCCTTTGTCAGCAGCAATATGTTCCGGTCTTTAAAGGGGTACTCCGGCCTTAAAAGTGATTTTCTAGAACCACAACTATTTGTATACCAATCTGAGTTTCAGTCTCCTCCACAAGGATTGCATAAAGAAAAACCTTGAAAACACTAAAAATCCCGGAAAAACTGCCAAAAAATGCGTTTGGGAGTCTAAAATGCAATGCAATGAACCATTATATACTAAAATTAATTCTATCGTAGTCTTCGTTTAGACAACGGTAGCAATTCCTCGCGGTATAAGGAGAGGCAAAAGTGCTTTAAAGATATTCAGCTAAGCAACGGAAATTTAATTGGCGGTTTTGTATTCGAGTATTTAACGAGTTTTTTTTATTTAACGATCTTTGTGACCTTTTATTAAGTTTTTCGCTTTTTCTACCTCTTCTTTACATCTTTTTTTTCTTTTAACACTCTCTAGCACACGTAATAATGAGTTCTGAAGAAAAAAGTTTCTAGTTGATGGTTGACGGTTCAAGTTAGTTGTGCTTGAAAGGTTTTTAGGAAAATAGTTTCTTGATTTCAATATTCTATCTCTACAGATCAAAAAGTTGTTTAAAAAGTATTCAGAAAATTATAATATCAGTCAATTCGAATCAAAATTTTCGCAATTTTCAATGATTTCTAAAAGGTAGGACGAGGGGAAAGTAAACTTGGTTTTTCCTTAGCTTTCGTTAATGAAAGGGTAATAATTCCACAGATGAATCGTTAATGGAAGGGTAATAATTCCACAGATTCGTAAGGACCTGGGCTCAGCTAATCGCTTCTTGAAAAATCTAATGAAAAACAAAAAAAGCAAAAGCCAAATGAAAACGAGCGGGATTCGAACCCTCGAGGGTTGACCTCTTTGGCAAGAACAATAAACATCCGGCCAAATCGGTAGTGCACGCGGGTTGCTGAGAACGGCTTATACTGGTTCGAAGCAAAAATCGGATTTCGCGGATTTCGAATATCCTGGAGGTTGTATTGTGGGGTTAGTTATTTCCATAAGTACGAAGCTATTGCCGTTACCAAATCCTTCCCACTTCTGTATTTAGAGAAGTATCTTTCAGGTTGCAATTCCCTCATTTCTCTTCTATTTTCCAACATTTCTCGGAATGGGTTATTTATTGTTGAAACGAGTTGAAATGACTGGACTTACATGTATGATTTGGAAATGTTACAATTGTTGTTCCAGCGAATAGGATCCTTTTTAGTTTTAGAGATTTCTTTTTAGTGATTTCTCATATCTTTTTGGGATTATTTTGTCTGCACACATTTTTGAATATCGTTTCAATGATTTGGATGATCAAACCATACAGAATAGAGGCGTTAAGGCTTTTGGAAAAGACTAGATTGGTCAGGTGGGAGAGATTGGGGAAATGAAAAATGAATAGAAAAATGAAAGGAGAATTTCAGTCCAAAGTACCGCGAGGGATTGGTGAATGTTCTGGCAAAACAAGGGAATACAATGGGTTCATCGAGTGCATACTGATTCTAAATGGAAATCAAATTTTATTTATCAATGAATTAAATGCAATTTACTGTATGTTAAAATCTCCGTTTGTTTTCAAATTCGACTTTTCTGAGAAATCATGGAATTTGTTGTAGGTTGTATAGCGTTTGAGTTTTCCTAAATAATTCACTCAATGCATGATTCTTCAATTACCATATATCTCTTTTGTTTCAAAAGGCCGAACGAGATAATTCTGAAGAGAGATTTCCGATAAGGAGAGATGAAATAAAGTGAGAGAAATGGGGATAAAACGGGCACAAGACCGACAATCTGAAAAAGAAATGAGAAAATTGAAATTAGAAACTGATGAGAATGATTTCAAATGGAAATCATTGAAAAAAAAGCAGAGAATGGAAAAGCACATGGTATAATAATAATGAAAAACGGTGAAAATATCCCTTTCTTTTGGCTTTAAAACTAAAAACTTTGGATCTCGAGCTACAGGCGTCCGATCGACTTGCGGTTAATTTCATTCGATTCCTCAACAAATTCTGCTATATAGAGATCAATATTAGATTGAGCGCTTACCTGTAAGAACATCGAGAAAACCGGCGTTATAGATGTATATTTTAGTATAGTAGTATTATATTTTGTAGTATATTTTGTTCGGAGTTTTGTATAACGCCGGTTTTCTCGATATTCTTACAGGTAAGCACCCAATCTAATATTGATCTCTATATAGCAGAATTTGATGGGGAATCGAATGAAATCAACCGCAAGTCGAGTGTTTAAATTGAAAACTAAAACCTGAAAACAATCTTCAATTTTACCTGAAAAGCCAGAAACTCTAAAACCGGGTGATGCATAATTTGAAGTTGTTCGACTGAATAGCAAAAAACAGCCACTGAATAAACTAATGGAAGACAAGCTTGAAAGACGAGAGCCTGAAGGGCGAATATGGAAATGAATTTGAGATCGAACCTTCACGAGTTTCTTGTGCACACTTTTTGTTCTACTACTTATCGCGATTTTGTCTAATCTTTTGTGAATTCGATTCCTAAGAATTGTGACAGTGATATAGACGGGAACACAAGGGATAGTTAGCCAGAGAATCGTGAAAAGACTCAAGAAATTGAAGATCGAGACGTGGCCAGAGACGGTTAGGCCTGAAAAGGGGCTTTGATTTAAATTAATCTAACATCTAACAATATAACAATAAGCAAGCTTTATCCCAATGTTTGTATCTTTTTAAGAATTAGAATAAAAGTCTTTAAACTAAAGATTAAAAGCTCTCCATTGTTAAAAACTGACCGTCAAGAGAATAATTGAATTTTTCAATCATTAATTTTCGGATTATTGGCTCGGGATCTTCGGTGAAAGTGAATGAGATCTAAATCAAAGAAAATCAAAGAAAATCAAAGACAAATTACTAGTTTAAACTTAGTTTACCGCTTGAAAAAGTGATGGGGAATAGAAAGTAAGACAAACGAAAATTGAGACAAGAATTGAGGGATTTCGCTGAAGAAGTTTTCTTTTAATCGAACTTTACTAGAGCTTACATGCTTTAGAATGTACCATCGATACCAAAAAGATGGAATGAGCGAGATAAGACTGTGAGCATAACAATGTAACATGAAGGAATAGCCGATGAAACAAGCACGATGGCCCCAAAATGAACAAGCGCCATAGGAGATGTAGGTGAGGGATTCACCGTCGGGAATGATTCTGGAAAGGAGTACTACAAATTCACTTTGATACAATTATTGCATTATTTAGTCTGTGCTTGTACCAAGCTTGTTCAATTCTTGTATTTGTTGGTTTTAAACTAAAGTAAGAAAAGCAATGAAAAGACTCATTCACCAATCAAATAACATACATAAAGTTGAACAAAAGAACGGGTATTTGTGATTTTAAAACAAAGCAAGACCTATTGGGTTGGGGAGAATGAGTCGGCGCCGAAAATCAAAGAAATTTCTAAAACTTATAGCAGACTTTGTCAAATGATATGCGTTTGATATCCGTAGAAGGGTAACTAATTCTCTACAAAATAATATTTAAAAAGAGAACTCAAACAGCGCCTCAACTCAACAAAGGATCATTTTTCACAAAATCGATAAACTGTCATCTAGAGTAAACGGTTGGAGGGATCTTCCTGAAAATTTGGTAACTTATGTAATTGAGTGTGCTCTATCTTTTTTATATAAACACGAAAGGCGGTTTATGTGGAAGAAACTGTTCAAGCAATGAGTCGGACTTTTTGTCATTTTGATTAGCTGTGTTTGGGAATCCATAAAATCCCAAAAAAGAAAAGCTTTGTGGAATCTCTCAAAAGCCATTTTGTAAAGAAATAGTGGACCATTTTGATGAAACAAAACGTGTATTTGAAGAAGGTTTTATGGGTGCAAAAAGTTTCTTTAAATTTCGGCGCCGACTCATTCTCCCCAACCCAATAGTTCACCATTTAATCTCACCTTTGCATTACAAATATCGCCAGAAAGCATGCTGTATAATCAGTGAATGCAAAATTAGCAATATAAACAGCATATGATCGTAATGTTTTCGGAGTTTTCGTCAAAATCAACAAAATCAACGCTGAATTTGCCGCCAAACCAATGATATTGAAAAGCCAATGAAAAAACTCATTGACTATTTCAGCGGTAACTTTCAACATATAGATATAATCTAAGATTT